GATACCTTGCAAGCTGAAAATGTGATGAGCGTTGCCTGTCAGCAAATGCCTCTTCGCGGTTCAGGATTTCCGGCAGGCAGCGGACCACAGCCCGAGTTGCAGGTCATAGTTCCGCACGCCACTGCTTTTTGGATCTTGGATCGTAGGCCAGCCTGTGCCGAAATGCATCTGCGCTCACGGGTTCAAAATGGGCACAAGCACGAGCCTGCTTGATGCTGGGCACATCGGGGCCCGTCTCTGGCTTCGTTTCCTACAGAGGGCAGATGATGGTGCGTGGCAGTACTCGCTGTGCTTGTTCGCGTGCTTCTCGTGCCTGCTGCCTGCAGCGAGCTTGCTGTGCAGCGGTGTCCACTTCGGTTTGCTGACGGGGGCTGTTGAGCACCGCGGCCCTCACGCCAGGCGGTGTGTGCAGGCCTGCTTTGGGCCCTGGCACACAGGGCACTGCTTGCCTCTGCTGATCTTTGGCTTAGAGCGCACGAAACCCATCACAGCCAGCAAGAAGATGCATTCCGATGGTCAGCGGCACCTTCAGAGCTGTGTGGACTTCATGCTGTTGGAATGCAAGCCTTGTGCTCGCACCACTCCACGTCTCAAGGCCCTGAAAGTAGCAACACGATGCTATTCTGGAGCTTGAGCCACAGCCCTCCACCTGCTCACCACGAAGCCGCACTTATGCCTTCTTCATTGATGCTGCCAGAGGTCTCCTCCCACCACTGCAGCCGTACACTCCCCTCACTTCCCCTCACTGTGGCTCCAAGACTGAGAGTGTAGGACAGTGTAGGAGTTCCAGCCAGGGGTCAAGCTAGCATCAGCCAGCGGATAGAAGTACGTCTTGCTTGTGCAGCGGAGCTTCCGCTTCAGAGATCCCCGTGCCGCATATCCGTAGCTTTAGCGATGAAAAATCTTGACCTGATTTCGAGGCCAGACGAATGGGAGACATCATGTACGAACTCCTTGTGGCGCCAAAAACCCGCAAGCGCTTACATCCGTCACCGCGCTAGGTCCGCTAGGTTCCCTCGACCGCCTTCTTGGAGGCGTGCAAGTTACGGCCGCGATAAGCTTCTCTTCCCAAATGCACCAAGACGCAGGCCTGAACCAAGAACATGCTTCTTTTACTACAAGTACATATGAGGCTGGCAGGAAAACCGGAAGGGGAGTAGTGACTCTTGCCTGTAGGACCCACGGTGGTGGGGGAGCTTGACATACACTGCGATCCGTCAGGTTTCCATCCTCTCTTCCAATAATGGATCTCGTGAGTGCGGGGCTCATGCGCTCTCCTTCCCTCCTATTGCACGCTCGGTTCCGGACCTGTGTCCGTCACAAGCGATGTGGTCTTCACCGATGCTCGGACTGACAAATAGGTCTGGCTTGCTTGGCTGCTAGGGTCTTTCAGTGCCTGTCGAAGGTCATGATGTCATTGCGCAACATGGTTCCAGCAGCACCTGATATCTTGCACTGCATGCACGCGAAGTACCGGAACTTCGCTTGGTGCGTGAGCGCTTCCCATCCATACCATGTTGTTTCGGCGTCCAAGGGAGAGACCCCCCAATCTTACAATCTTGAGCAGATTTCGAGGCCAGCAGGCTTGGAGACGTCGTGCACGAACTCCTGGTGGCGCCAACGCCCAAGAAGCATGTGCATCAGTCACCGCACTAGGTTCCCTCGACTGTGGAGGCTTGCAAATTACGGCCGCGAGAAGGTTGTCTTCCCAAAAGTACCAATTAGACGCAGGCCTGAACCAAGAACATGTTGTTTCTTTCAGTACGTGTGGCCAGCAGAATTGGAGACATCATGTACGAACTGAAGCGCTTACAGTCACCGTGCTAGGTCCCCTTGACCTTGGAGGCTCGCTGGCCGAGGGCCTGTGCACGTCGTGTGCGTCGGCGCTCTTTGCTTGTAGGCGTGTTCCCGCGCCTTCAGAAGCAGGAGCCAGGTGGGGTTTTCCGCTTCCTTCACAAGTAGCGGGGAGCAGCCCCGAAGCCGACAAGGCCTTGTAACAAGTGAGGGGGTCTCCCCTCCGCGACAAGCCGGGTTTTGAGGCAGATCCATGACTTGCAGGGCGAATGTGGCACGCTGCTCGCTCACAAGCGAGTCTACCAGGAGAGTCTGGGGGCGGGTGGAGGGCCCGACCGAGAATCTCTTGATGGCAAAAAGACTGGCGGTCTGTTTAACAAAGGTGTAGAACCATGACATTGATCTCAAGACCCATTCGGTCCTTCAGGCTTTGAACCCTAGTTGGGCACTGTAAACGGTTCCCGACTGTTTGGGGTATTTGTCTAATGGTTCCATGCCGCCCCCTTTTCGCGGCACGGCAAAGCTGCCGATAGCCACCGTTGTTGATCTTTATTTGTGAGCGTTTGCATGGGCAAGGCAAAGGGGCACAGCTTTGTCGGATGCCTGTAGCGGCTGACTCTGTAATGTCCATGTGGTCCATGCAGCATGTTCCAAGGAAATTGAAGTAGCAATTTCTCGCAGGCCAGTTGCTATCCATCCGACCTTAGCGAGTGTCGGGAGTTTTCGCTGTTCTATGCTGTTGCATGAACCGCGATAAAGAGGCTCAGATCCGGCAGGGTAGGAGCGGCATCTGCAGGCTGATGCGAATCAACCGTTGGTACCACTGAATATGCGCACGGCCAAAAACTCAGCCATTGGCCGCACAGCACGGTCAACTGGACATCTGCAGCTTGGTGAATGAAGGTGGCGTGCTCGCCGTGAATGCGAATGCTCGATGGAGCAGTTGGCAGCGGACTCATCCACATCATCTAAGACCGAGGCAAACAAAAATGAGGGGGCGAAAGCCTGCGTCCCAATCGTCCCAGACGAGCAGAGCCGCAAGTGCTTAAGGACCACCCTTAATAATACGCTCAAACCATTAGTAAATAATATGCACGAACCGGTTAGGCCTGCGCTACGTTCATATGATTCACTTCTCTCTACATTATATTCTCTCCAAGGCCCGGGAAACTAGTCCGTACGTACTATTTGGATTACAAAAAGGCTAAGGAATTGAGGCCCTCTTCTCCCTCGGTAATTCAATTATTATTATCCGGTATTTCATCCAGCGGCACCCATAATAGTAATAACATTCTCTGGTTCGGTGCGCCGTAAGGGGTTCTCCTGCTTGCAAGGGGGCATCAGGCCCAGGCACACAGGGTTGCAGCCAATGCTGGGCACAGCTTTGCCTACGGGTGCGTGCTGAACATGATATCCGCCAGTCCTTAAGGCTTTGACGGCGCGACCGTCTGCATGCTCCGGGTAACCCAGCCGATAGCAAACACGGGACGCAATTGAGCGGCCGCAGCACTTTTCTCGTGGTATGGACTCTTCATGAACGCAGCTTCTCCCGATGCGCCTTCAGCAAAAGGTGTTGCCCACTGCTTCTGGGCTGCAGTCTGGTGACAGTACGAGGATGAGTGTAAGCATCACCCTTGTTAGCCACACGCATGGCCCAAGTTGAGAGTCGGAGGCACGGGCACAGCCGCGGACACCGTGCGGGTTCGCAGAGTGGCTGCTGACAGCCACGGCTGTGCTCGGGTTGCCCGGGTTTGAAGAGCCATCCGCGCTCGAGATCAGGCAAGGCTTTCATGTGTCCCAACAGGGTCACCCTGCTCTAGAACTTGTTGGCTTGGTGCCCAGCATGTCTCCGCAGGTTTCTTGATTGTCGTTCCACAGCTCCGGGTTGCTGTGCTGATCGCATCAAACTGCCGTCTCATGAAGCCATGAGCCGTTAAGCTTGGAGCAGCCTCGCGCCCATCCTGGAGCATTCGTTGGCGGATCCTGTTGCTCAGGCGGCACATGGTCCAGATTCGCCATGCAGGCCGCATTTCAGGAGGCTTGGCCTGCAGAACACAGAGATGCCGTGAATAGAAACTGGGAGAGTGACAGTAGTGACGATCGTGACAGTAGTGTCGACGCGCAGGCCTGCAGCGCAGGCCTGCAGCGCAGGTTTGTTCTTTGAAGTTTGGCTGAATGCCGTGTTGGCCATGGCTCCATCTTCTCCATCTTCTGTGTCTTGTCGACAAGAGCAGACTGCGGCTATCTGCTTTTTGATAGCAGTTATAGCGGATGGATCAACAGGGAACTGCCCTTCCGCGGTCCGATCGTCAGAGTTTTCGCGCGAGAGCTCCGGACTTGCCCGTGAGATTGAACCTCCCAGAGGAGTAGATCACACTCGCAGAGTCTGCAGACTCAGCTTGCCTCAAAAGCTGGCACGCAACTTTGCATGGCAGTTGCAAGTCCTGCAACCCGATTCTTCCTTCGGCCCCCTTCCTCTAGGGCCGGCAGTGTGAGGCACCTCGCAGACCCTTGAGCCCATCCGCCGCAGATACCGCATTCCTAGGTTGCTCGCCAGGGGGGTGCGCGCACATGGTTGCTGGTGGCAAGCATGAACATGTCTAATCTGTTTGTGCTCCAATTATGTTGGCTCATCTTCGCACCGCCCTCAGAAGTAGGGAAGCTGTTGATGTTGCGTCGCTAAGTTTCGCCAGGGGCAAGCGCACGCTGGCATGTGCCACGGGATGCCGATGAGCATGTCCGCACGTGTTGCACAGTTGCACTTTCCTTGTGCTGTTTTGTCCTCGCGCCGCCCTCAGAAGTGGGGAAGGGTGCTGAAGTCTTTGGTGCAGGACCCTTGTTAAGCCCTAAAGTCCTTTGAATTCGGGGCGGATGAGGGCCTCTGGGGCTTTGCTGCCTTCGCACACAAGCCCTTTAAGGCCGGCACCCAATGCCCATACTCCGTGAGTGTCACGAGTCCGACCCGAGCAGCCTCCGCCAAGTTCTCCCTGAATACCTCCCGCGTACAGACGCATGCGAGGTATGCAGACATGCGCTCCTCCGGGTTCCCTTTGCCGAAACTCTCCTCGGCTGGGATGCTACCCCGTTCGCGGCGTCGCGTCGATCGCTGAGGTCATTTGCACCACCGTGAGCGCCGGGCGTCGTCAGATGTGCGCAGCTTTGCAGAGGTAGGAGTTGGCGGTCGGAGGCACTCCATCCATCCACGTTCAGAGATCAACTACATCAACTACACTCTCACCTTTGACCCTCAGTTCAGCATCCACGTCCCTGTGCATCTCCAGAGCCGCATCCGGCAGATTAAATTCAACAGCATGCTCCTGCGTCGTCTGCTCCGCTGTCCTGCTCCGCCACCACGTTGGCCCCACCCGGGCCGTCGTCTGTGAGGTCTCGCAATCTGGCACGGCTCTTTGGCCGTTTCCCATCTTCACGACACGACACGCGGTTTTTCGGCACAGCGACCAACTGCGACATGGCAAGCCGGCCTGCCGGCTTGCCCGACAATCGTTGTCAAAAGTCTTCGTCGCAACAGCAAAGGAGCAAACGATATGGTAAGATTGACCCTCTTGGACCAAGAACACAAGCATCTTGCATGTATTGTAAGACCACAAGTATATAGAGGGGCGTACTCGCAGAAGAACTGGAGCGTGGAGAGTCAGCTAACGTCAAGCTGGCATCCAGCCTTGCGCGGCAGTTGCAAATCGTGCAACGCGCAGCGGCGCGGCATCCGGCGTGGCTCCTTCGCCATGCCCCATCATCCCGACACAACCACGCGACATGGTACGGGCCGGCTTGCCCCAGCAATCGTTGAGAGAAGTCTTCGTCGCCACGGCAGAAGAGCAACAGCTTGCAAAGACTCGGTGAAGACGACCGATCCTTGAGGAGTAAGGAGCTGATGATGTCAGTCCGCATTGATGCGGCGTTGATGGCCGCGGTGCCCTTCTAGGCATGGCCATTGCACATCGCCAGGCTGGCCTTGCGACACAAGGACAGAAGGGGCAGGGTACACGTTGGGATCATTGGGTTCATTTCGTAGGCGATTGCGAGCCCGCGGCTTTGTGCACGAGGCCCGCAAGCCAAAGCAGCAGAGTCTGAGAGCGAGACCGAACAGCATCTAGGCAAACAACCTCCAAGCTCGGAGTCTTCTGGCGTCGGTCAAAGACGGAGCTGGTGGGATTTGTGGCCACAGCTGTTGAGCTGCAAAAGAGTTACGTGCATGCTTTCTGGACACAATTGGACGTTTCATGTCTGTTCGTGCAGCTGCTCTCGAGTCAGAGAAGAGCTCTTTTCGGGACTTTTTGGCTTTTCGCGCCCTGGGCCTGAGGCAATTTCGATGCTTCTCTGTTTTTGACTTTTCAACTTCGCTTTTCGCACCCTTCGCTTCTCAACTTCTCGCCCATAAATATGTCTCACACTTCATGTTTTTGGGCCTTTTTGATCTTTTTTGCTTTTCGGCTTGTTGACATTCACGTCTTGACTTTTGAGTTTAGTCTCTACGTTGTCGTCGGCAGCAATCAGAACTCCCTTGGCTGCCAGGGCCAAAGCCCTCAACTCTACAACCCAAACCATGGTGGCAAAACACACCCGAACCATGACTATCCAAGCTATCGCTTCAGGGCCCTAAACCTGAAGGTTTACAGGGATGTGAGCGAGCCATTTTGGGGGAGCAGAGTCCGAAGTTTTGTAACCACTCATCGTAGAATAGTGTAAAATTCCAGATAGCAACCCTGTCAAATCAATTGAATGAGCTCCAAAAATTGAATAACCAAAAGAAAAGACTCATAGGAAGCCAATGATACTGCTTGGTGCAAGTATTGATCCATGTGGTTTTTATTTCACAACAAAATTCTCAGTTTTTCGAGAGAGAATAACATCATGAAGGGCCGATTTCACGGGGGGGACAGTCAGTGTGGCTCCTGCGAAATGTATTAGCCTGCGCAGATGGAATGGCGCCTTTGTGCTTGGCTTCAAAATTTAGGTTGGATTCAGCTTTGTTCTAGATTCTCAGGGGCCCTCAAGAGCAAAGCTCTTTTCGGGACATGCAGCCTTAGCTTCTCAACCAGCGCCGACACCATCGCGTAGGCAGAAGGAGCAGGCTTGCAGCATCAAATGACACCCTGAAAATGACTCATCGCCGGTTGGTGTAAGTTTTGTCTGTCAACTACGCTATTCAATGACAGTCGGGGAAGCCAGTCGCCAGCTATTTTGCCAGTTGCCATCGCGTGCTTTGCAACTTCACAGCCAAGCAGCCTGCGAAGACCGCGGAGCTGCAACGCGGAAGCCGGAATTGATATCCTCGTACCTGTACCCCACCGCATTCCACTCACGTTCCCAGCCACCAGCCCCATGACCTGGTATCGTCGACAGTGCCGGATAATTGAAACGTCACTTCGCGCCTATAGATCAGGCTGCGCCCGAGCCAGGCTAGGTCACAGGGGTGGCGTGCAAGCTACTGGGATGGGTGGTTCGTGCAACGTGGGAGTTAGTCGGAAACGACAAGAGAATCGCCCCAAGTTGTTGACACAGTTGTTTTTGTGCTTCTTGTGCGGACCATGCCATGCCGGGTCACCACCACTTTTTCTGCGCCGAATGGCGCCGGCTGCGCAAGGCGCCAGGGGGTGATCTTCACAGGGTCCCGTATGCCACGGGCCACAGCTGTCACTGAAGGGCACACCCCCTTCCGCCCTGCAGGTGGTGGTCATCGAGGATGAGGCAGGGGGTGCAGTTCCGGGAGTCCAGAGTAGTTTGTCAACTTGAATCAGAGGTCGGGATCCGAGCAGTATTTCCACCCCAAACACATCCCTGCCAGCTGCTCTTCGACCTCGTGGCTGGGGCACCCAGCCCGGAGGAGGTGGTGCTGGATGCCGGCGGCGGCCCCGGTGGCAGATGCGGCTGCTCACGATCGCACCAACTCTTGATCTGTGTTCGAGGTTACGAGTTCGCCAAGCAGTGGGCAGCCCAGCTCGTCCTTCAACGCCCGTCGCCTTGGGCACGACGATGTAGTGCTTGTCGCGAGGAACGGCCTGCAGGGTTGGAGGATGGAGGTCGACCAGGACGTCTCATGCCTGATTTCCCTGTATTGCTTAGTGCAAACTGCAAACTTGTTGTGTTGGAGTCTGCGGGCCCCCTGAGCCCCTGAAGCTTGGAGCCCACGCTGGGCCTCAAGGACTTGTTCAACCACATCAACGAGCTCGACGGCCAAGCCGCCGAGCGCTGGGTAGCCCAGTCTCGCTCTCTCTCTCTCTCTCTCTCTCTCTCTCTCTCTCTCTTGCTCTCTATCTCTATCTCTATCTCTATCTCTATCTCTATCTCTATCTCTATCTCTATCTCTATCTCTATCTCTATCTCTATCTCTATCTCTGTCTCTATCCCGAGTGCTTCTGCCCAGGAGGGGATGCCTCCCCAAGTGGGCCGCGTGGCAGGAGTGGCGGAAGTCTTGAAACGGGGGAAGGGGATGGGAGGGCTTCGGCAGGATTCCCAAGTCGCCAGTCATACTCTATGCCCAGTGTATGCAGGAGCACGGTGTCCCGGGAGCCGACCAAGAGCTTGGGCCGAGGTCTCGAGCCAAAGCTGCAAGTGCCTTTACTTTGGTCTGGCTTCTCTCACGGTTCCGGTTGCTGCCTTTGTTCTCTCGAAGCATGAAGAGGCCGCTCCATGTCTCCACGCTCGGGATCCCCGTCCCGGCCCCAAGACTGCCCGGAGGTGGGGGGTTCAGCCTTAGGTTACCTCAGGTTCTCTGACATCCTCATGGCATTTTTTCTTTAGAAGCTGGTTCGTCAACCTTAAGTGGGCTGGCAGGAGCCCTGCACTCTGCATCACAGCCGCGCTCGATGTGTTCGCAGCGTCTCCCCTCTTCGCTCAAATGACCCCCCCACCGGGCGGATACCTTGTCGACAGCAGAGAACCATTCAAGAACCCCACGGAACCATCTGGAACCATGGTGTTGTTCCCAAAATCGATCCCAAATATCTGCGAAGCCATCTCAAGGCTCCAATGGTCATGCCCACGCCCAGGTTGTCTCGCTGCGCCACGCGTCGGCTGCAAGGGGGACGGTGCCACTGCCCCAAAAGAAGCCCAAGACGGGATCTGAATGGTTACACGCAGCGTCAGGGTTCCGGATCTGGCAACCTTCTGCGTTTGACACGCTGCAGTTGTGACAGGGCACCTGCCCTGCAGTAGCAGCTTGAACTGCTTGCCTCTTGCAGCGGGCACGTGCAGGCCTGCGTCTCCGACCCGGGTGCCGAGCGCTCAGAAATGGCAGCATTCTGACTTGTGGGTGCCCGAAGTGCCGGAAGTGCCCTAAGCTCGCTCAGCGCCCTAAGTGCCCTACGTGCCCAGGGTCACACGCACTCCAACCCCGTCTCTGCGGTCACCTCTGCAGCGCGTGGCGACGTCGACCACGAATCTGGCAGGGAGCTCAAGACGTCACGTGGTCCCTGTGATCCTTGGAGCCACTTCTCACTGTTCATGTTATTGTTTAAGAGCCAACCGAGGTCATCTGAGTTCTCTGATAATAATGTTGCGCTTGGAGCCGCTTCGACTCCCCAAGGTCATCGGGGCTTCTGCGACTTCGAGTGGGGGCCCCTCAAGGCGGAGTGCTGGCACGGCAAGAGCGGGGACTGAAACTCTAGCGATCTGAAAAGACAGTTCAGTATGTTGTATACATATATATATATATACACATGCATACATACATACATAGGTGGGTTTATATGACCATAATGCTAATAGTAAGAATCCTAAAATAGGAAGAGTATGGTTCAGATGTTTTTAATAGTAATGATATGTATATATATATATACACAGATATATCTCTCTCTTTATCTGTGACTCTTTTTGATATTTTGTATAGCATCCTGTCCCCTGGAGGCCCATGCTCTTCGTCAACGAGAAGCAGCCGCCTCAGCTGCGAACTCCTGGACCCGGCTTAAAAAAGCGTTCAAATCAAACTCTGCCAGGCATCCGCTTGCACACCTTCCGGATCCGGTTAGCCAGCTGCTCAGAAAAGATGAGAGCCTCCCGAGGGGGGAGTGGGGGAGAGACTGTCGCATATTGATTGTTCGCGAGTTGTTCGCCCTCAGAAGCAGGAGGGGTTAGTTTTCAGAGCAGGTCGCAGTGGCAAGGGTCTCCTTGCACATGTCTGCGGTTTGATGGACTTGTCATGTCTGAACGGCTACTGTACCATTCATGCGCTTGCTCGAATTTCCGCGTTTCGACAACCATGAACTCCGTGACAGTGTTTGCGAGTTTGCAACACACGAAAAGCAATTGGCAACCCAAGCCGCACAAACCCACAAACCCCATGACAGGTCGTGAGGATTTCGTCGCCGAGTTGTGCAGGCAACCCTGGGAACCCTGGGGTGCCGAAGGGTGGCTGATGCCCTAGAGAAGCCCTGGAGACCCAATCTCAAGCTTCTCCATCCCACGTGCTCCCCAACGTGCTCCCCAAACCCCCCCCCCCCCCTTAGAGGATCTAACAGTCTAGTGCCTCTTTAGTTGTCGAAGAATGGTGAATAGCAGCTAACAATATTGAAGCAAATTCATCAGCCGATAGAAGTAGGACATTGTGAATAGAACTTATTCAAATGCTTCTTCGAGGCGCCTCCGGGTCCCTCGGCTCTTCAACAAGGAGGCCAAGGAGCACAAGGAGAGGGCGGGAGGCCCGGCACACTTGGGTTTCGCCTCGTGGGGTGCAGGGTTCTAGTTGTGTTCATGTCTTTGTTTCATTCTCATTTTCAAACATTTTGTTTCGATGCGGTGTAGAGGGGAGAAGTGTGGAGCTCAGTGTGTGCCAGGTGCCGGCTTGGGCCAGGCCCGGCCCTCGGCTCCCGGATGCGCTGCCTTGGAATTTTGCCGCAAGCGTTCTCCGCAGGGCGAGCCGATGTTGACATCGGAGGACCTCGGTACTGGAACCTTCACTGAGAGCGGGTTGATGAAGGCTCAAGGAAGCTTATAGCTTTGGGATGGTCCCCCTTATGGTAACAGTCCTCAATAGGGATTATAGGGGGAAACAATCCCTGTTACAGACTGTTAGTATAAGGGGGAACATCCCAAATTATAGCTATCTTGTGCAAGGAGTGCGAGGACCTCTTCGACATCTTAATGCAGATGCCGCGAACTTGGAAGGGAAACCTGGATCCTGTGAGGCACTTTCGGAACCTTGAACCCGACATGTGCGGGATGCTGTGAAGCCTTGGGAGAGGAGGCCACGCAGGAGAGCAAGTAAGAAACCACACAAACTTCATTTGCAGCTCAGCTTTGAAAGCATAACAGCTACACAAGGATCCCGGCTGCAAGTGGCTCAGAGATGCCTCGAGGTGGTTTGTTCGACTCGGAGTAGTTGAGCCAGATACCGGCACTCGCTTTATGCAACGCAGTATAATCTATGTAACGTCATACAACACACACACACACAGAGGCTGCAAATATCAGGACGTTTAAGACACATATTCTGTAAATGCTGGGACCAAGCCCTGGAGTTTTTGAGGCAGAAGGTGGCGGGCGCAGCCCACGCGAACCCCGGGAGCTTGTCCTTCGGATAGCCGAGCTGGCGGATTGCAGGGCCTCAGGGCATATTGGTCGACAGCCCAGACCAACCCTACACCCTAAACCCCAAAGCTTCCAAAACCCCCGCAGCCCCCAAATCTCCCAAAACCCCCCAAAGCCACCAAAACCCCCCCCAAAGGCCCCTAAAGCCCCTCTGGGCCTCCGGCGTCTTTCTGCCAGCTCCATGGATGCCACCGTGGACTCCTTCCTGGGACTCTGCTCGTCGGAACCTTGGGTCTTTGACGGGGGGCCTTTAGAGGGTAGGAGGGCTTTAGGGCTGGCTTTGGGGGAGGGATTGAAGGGTAAGGTTTAGGGTTTTTAGGGTTTAGGGTTTTAGGGTTTTAGGGTTTAGGGTTTTAGGGTTTTAGGGTTTAGGGTTTTTAGGTTTTGAGGGTTTAGGGTTTAGGGTTTTTAGGGTTTAGATGTTTTAAGGGTTTAGGGTTCAGGCTTTTCAGGATTTAGGGTTTTAGGGTTTGGGTTTTTAGGGTTTAGCGGTTTTAGATCTAGGGTTTTTAGGGGTACAGGGTTTAGGGTTTCGGGTTTTTGTGATCCTAGCGCGCGGGCACACATCGCGTATACGCACGCTCGCGTCGCCTCCGGAGTTCGCGTCATGAAGTCAAGCCCTCCGGAGTCCTGAAACAATGGGCCTCTGGAGCAATAGCGCGGGCAAACCACAAGTACTGGCCGTAGCCTTAGGAACCCTGGCACCCCAAAACTCAAACCCCAGAGCCTTAAAGCCTTGCCCCAAACGTTGCAAACCCCATCAGCCCTGCCTAGAGAGACCTAAAGCCCTTTGTGGAAAGCACACTGAAACCCGATGCCCCGAGGCTGCGTAAGGCTATGGAGCGGGGGGCCCCTTCCCTGAACGCCTTCCTCAGCAGCTTGGAGGTTCAGGATTGAATTGACGGGTTACTCTCTCTGGCTGTGTCTCTCTGCCTCTGCCTCTCTCTCCCTCTCTCTCTCTCTCTCGTGTTTTTATGATATGTATGCAGAATCAATATTCTTTACAATATCGCATAGTTTCTTAGAGTGCACAATGCATTAGAATCTGGATGTTCATGCTGAATAGTAGTCTGAGGGGACCGTCGCAGTTAGGATCCGTCATGGGTTTATGGGCCTGGACTCATCAGTGCGAGCCAGACTGCAGACCAGTCAGTGCTTGGCACCAGGGTCTCTCCACGCAGGAGACGAAGTTGGTGGACCACACGCTGATGCGCCAATTCCTGGCGCAGGTGAGCCACAGGCCGGGCATGTCGCGATCCGTTGCTTGCATGGAATGATGACGATGTGTGAGCTTCGAACCTTTGCTTCAGGCTGGCTGTGGACGGTCTCCCAGGCACGGAGTTCAAGCGCCTATGGAGACGAATTGCGTCGAAAACCTGACGTTTGGGGCACGTTTGTCATGAGAGACGACGCCTCGAAAACTTTGCAGGCGCGGTGCCAGTGGAGCTGATCGTCAAGGCACGCACTCGCATGAGAGTGCTGCCGGTGCTTGCCGGCGCAAATATGGACTTTCAGCAGAACCTTTGTTCTTCATGTTGTGGAATGGGGTGCAGGACGCACTGAGTCACTGGCTTGTGCCACCAATTTTCGGTTCCCAGGCGCACAGCGGCATCGACGTTCCGGAGTTGCGGGCTCGGCCTTGCCGAGGTAGAAAGCAAAAGCCACGTCTCGAGCCAACACAGCAGTGACCGAGGCTTAGACGTCGCCTGGCGCTGGCTCCCGCCCAAGCCATGCACGGGGGCTGGGAACCTGCAAGCAGACACACCCCCACCAAAAGCACCAGGACGTCTGGGCGCCTTGCCTGAGGCTGCTCCGGTGGGGGCTTCCCTCCTTGAGTTCACAGGCCACTTCGAGGTTCGCATTCGGACATGCAGTCGTCGCTAGGCCATCACCTTCGCACACCGTTTCACACTAGCACAACCAAACGGCACTAGCGGTTTGAAGTAAGAAAGAGGCATCGGAGTAGTGAAGGTCAAACAGCAACGGCCGCAGCAGTATCCTCCCCAGGGCTGCAACGCTTCTTGACCCTGCGCCCACCAAGCCAGCGTTCGTTTTCACTTTCACTGCCAGTCTCGTTGCCTCTCATTATGACTTCTATTGGTGTTGTTCCACCTACTACGTAGGTGAAGCACGGCTACGGCAGGTTCAAGCTGCTGGGCCCTGAGACTCTGCCGTTTATTCTCACAAACTTATTCGTGTTTCTTTCTGCGGCTTATGAAGCAAGTTCACGAAAGAGGAATACCATTATCATTACGACCAGTATTCTAACGACCGTTCAGATGTTTGCTATAACGACTGCTCCCATGCCTGGGAAGCCGAAAACCCTGAGCCGTAAATCGCGATTCTCATGACTGGTGTTCTTCCACCTTCTTTCAGGGTTTTGGGTTTCGGGTTCAGGGTTTGGGGGTTTAGGGTTCAGTCTTTAGCCCTGAGGCCACATGTGAGCGAGTTCGTGCGGGCCTCGGTTTCTGATCAAAACATTGCTAGGAGGAGAAGAAGCCTTCTGTAAAACCCCAGAAGTGCTGAGCCTGGTGAAGATGAAAGGCCCCCAAGCCTACAAACCCTAACGCCCCGCACCCTGCAAGAAGTGAACAAAAAGCGCGCTAACAAAACCCAGCCCAACCTAAAGCTCTAAACCCAGCTCCGAATTTCCAAAACTGGCCAGGTACCCCTGTGGATCCACTGCAGCAGCCAGGAACACCTGGATATCTCTCCACAGGCTCCACCCCAAGCTAGTCTTTTCATAGTGTAATGGTTGAGAATAAATTTGGCGCTACGCGAGCCGCCTCGGCCGGGGCCTGCGCAAGCTTGTCTTCGACAGGACACGAGCCTCATGTGTAGACAAGGGTGTAGGGGTTTGGGGCAAACGCGTTTTAGACTGAATTGAGTAGCCCAATACCCGAGAATCTCAGATTCTATGAACTTTAATTAAACCCGAATTCCTGAGTTGGGCACCCGAGACACTGCAGCGTGAAATGCCGACCGGGCCGAATCACCCGCTTCACAGGGAGCTGGAGCACCAGTATCTTGGAGCTGGTTGTGCAAAGGCGTTCATAGGGGCGGATGGCTACGCCACCGCCTTTTGCAGGAGTGGCAAAGAACCTAAAACGATTCAAAGTTTAGGTCTTGCGGAGTAATTGTGGCTTGGGGCTTGTGGTCTCGACTGCAAGGTGAGGTTTCAGAGTTTCAGGTTTTGAGTAACGAAGTCTGGGCAAACACCTACGGCCCGAGGACTCGGCAGATTAATGATGCAATATTTGTGCGCACATTCGAAAGCAACACTGACATGAATTACTCTTATACTAGGTACGCTAGTAAGAGTTGCAAAGAAGAATCTAGGTAGCGGATCTGACAGTAGCAACAAACATCGTTGACGTCAGACGCGCAGGACGTGGCACGCTTCTTCCGAATCTGTGGCGGGCAGCTGAGGAGGGAGATCACTCGGCCACATCTCCATGTCAATGACGGATTCCTGAAATCACTGTGAATTCCTTGCGCTCTCAGGGCTTTGGCCTTCAAATCCTTCACCGGGTGTCTCAGGTGGATCTCCGCACGTGCCATTGCAGCCAGATGCCTTGGATGAGGCCCCGGACTTCGCCCCAGATGTATATAACGTACAGTATATGTATATGTATATGTACATGTATATGTGTATGTGTATGTGTATGTATATGTACATGTATATGTATATGTATATGTATGTGCATATGTATATGTATGTGTATGTGCATGTGCATGTGTATGTGTATGTGTATGTGTGTGTATCTGCATATGCATCTGCATATGCATCTGCATATGCATATGTGTATGTAGATGTTGATGTGGATGCAGATGTAGATGTATATGTATATGCATATGTATATGTATATGTAGATGTAGGTGTATGTGTATATGTATATGTATATGCCTATGTATATGTATATGTATATGTATATGTATATGTATGTGTAAAATTCGGTCTGCGTTTTGTATCTTGCTATATGTATCTTACATATTGTGCATTGTGTCGTATATCTTCAGTCACATATATTGTATCTGTTGTAGTATCCATTATTTCATAGTGTGTGCTGTATAATAACTTCCATTTGTATTATATTTGTAGAATCATATATCATATATCATATATCATATATCATATATCATATATCATATATCATATATCATATATCATATCATACGTGGTTGTATCTTGCATATGACATGTCATAGATTTCATATTAGATATTGTATACATCAGACTGATTACTACACACCATATACTTTACATTAAATACGATATGATGTATGATCTGCACAATGTATTCGGTGCAATATGAATACTGCATTACAGTGTATTCTACTATATGAATCATATTTGTTCTCTGTTATTTGCTATCATTGTTTATCATAGAATCCAATACGTTATAGTATATGACATATGTGCACATCGGTGGATTGACCGTGCTTGCTCGAAGATGGCATGCGGAACGCGCCAGAAATCATCAGCTAAACTTCGGTCATGACCCCAGGGAACTGGCAGTGTCTCAATAGTTGGTACTCCTGCATGCCCAGCCAGGCTCTGAAGCATTTGCCGCTGGAGGCGGGCGACGCGCGAGAGACCCACCATGGAATCCCCCAAACCTGTGAAGATTTTAGAAGGGTTTCGAAGGGTTTAGAGGTTTTTTTTTGCAAGGGTTCAAACGGTTTAGAAGGGGTTTCGAATGGGTTAGCGAGCGCCGACCGCGACCCAAGACCCAACCAAACCCGTCCAAGTGGATGCCTGGGTCCTGCCGTGATGCTGTGGCGTGTCTAGGAATGAGCGCTGTTGCGCGGCTTGGTGTTCAACCCCCTGTCTACAGTGTTGCGTGATTTGCTTGCCAGCAAGGACGGTCATTTTGTAAGCATTGGGGCTTCCGAACACGAACCCAACATGGGCATCTGAATTCATCTCGCTGGGTGTCCACTCGCCAGAGCATCAGTACGCAACGACACCAAACCCAGGCAGGTCATCGTAAACAAAGTATGATGCGCGCTCGTCGAAGAGTTTTGTGGAAGTTTTCTAGGGGCCGTTCGACGTGCTGTAGCTGCTGGTTTGTTTTGACTTGGGCAATTTCTGATTGTGCGGCGATCTGAGCCTCCAGAAGCAGAAGGCGGCATCATTGACCGCGGTTGCAAGCATTTGGCAAGCATTTGTTGCTGACTTGACGTGCCATGCTGAATTCCTGGGTTGATCCATGATCGGCGTGCTCCAGCTCTGCTGGCTGCTGATTGGCATTCTGCTGCTGATCTGCAGGCTGGCCAACAGGTGGTCTTTAGTTTTCGCAGCCTGTGGCAGGATGTGCGGTGGCGGGCCTCTGACTTTCGTGACCGTTCTGATTGCTATCTGTGTCATCGGCCAACACAACCCTGCTATCGTCCAATGCCTGGCGGGGTCCCCATTCCCGGTGTCGAATGACATGCGCTATAGCTGTAAGACTAATGCGACGTTCAGCTCAGCCCAGCCTGCGCGGTGCTGCGTTGGCCGTGGCAGTTTCAGTGGCTTAGGGGAGGGTACGAATAGTTACAATGGCGTGCCTTCTTGAGTGTGTGCCGACACGCGCACATGCTCGAGCCTCACTACAGATGTGGGGTCGACATCTCGTGCTGACAACAGCATAGTTACAAGGTAGCGCAAGTCATGGCTCAGCTAGGAGAAAGCAGGCAGGATTCGTAGTTCGGTGATTTGCTCAGGGATCCACAGCAGGGCCCCCCCGTCAGGAAAGCCCGAGAACTTGCGTGCACAAGTGCTGTGCAGAGTACACGCCCGGCGTATGAGATCGGGGGGTGTCGGGGATCTGCGCTCACAACCAAGGGACATACAGGGATGCCGTACTGTGAACAGTTGGAGACCGGAATGTTATTGTTGTTGCCAAGGTGTTGGACGAACAATGCCTCAAATGCTGGAAGAAGAAGTTCTGTTTCACAGTGCCACGGGAGGATAAGGATGAGGAGTGCAACTGGCGTGCGCCGTCTGAAGAGGCATCACCTGCATCCTTACCTGCGTCCTCGCCTGCATCCTCGCCCGCGTCCGGGAGCTCTTGACAAGCGAGCACATCTCATGTAGTTCAGCTGGGTTATCTCGTGCTCTCCATGGTGGCTCAATTGCCATGAGCGACGAGCTTCGTGCCCGGAATGTTTTCACTTTTGTCTCCTTAGGCTCTCTGGGTTTGCTTGCGCCTGCCTCCCTTCACGGATTTTGTGCGCCGTAATTGACCTCAGCCAGTCTATGGATCATTCGCTGTGCCAGCAGCAGTCAAGTTAGCTTCCCCTTCCATTTCTGCTCCCATGAGCCTTTACTTTGCCTTGTGGTGCTGCCCAACTTCAGAGTGTGACGATCATGAGTTTCAGGACTGCCCACCTACTTTGTGCAATTTATTTGATGCATCCATGTCCATATTAGACAGTGAGAAATGCTTGTGCACGCAAAGGAAGCGCCGGAATGGGAAAGGTTGCTGGGCGGCATTTTACTTTCTTCTTCTTGGCTACTTTAATTGTGCCGATTTGTGTTGATGGTCCATTGCCTGTTGTTGTGATGTCGCAGGCTCAGCTATGCGAAGACGCAGGTCGTGGACGAGGACCGCGCGAGATCATGATACTGGCTAAACACGGCTAAGCGGCTAAGCCCCAATCGAGATAAGCGCTGAGTGAAAAAACCTGCGCAGTAGGGTGTCCGACAGGAAGTCCAGATTGAAGAATTTCATGCCGTGGACCAATGCGTCAGCCTGGCGCAACATGGCTTGTGTGAGCCGGCTGCCGAGTTGTAGCGCCTTGGCCTGCCGGCAGGCTGAAACCAGCTGAGTCCCGAGTCAGGTCAGAGCTTGCGCGCGTGCGCGCGGGATGCGGTGGACGCAATGACAAGCCTCTTCTGTGCCCCTCAGGCCCACGCCATGTCAATCATTGTCGTTCCATGATTTCGAAATCTCCTTGGGTGCTATTACTCTGGCGATAGCTGGGTTGTTGTGAGGTGGGCGTGCAAGTCGTGGAGGAGGCGCTGATCCCGTTGGTAAGCCCCGACTGTTGAAGCGTGCCGGCGCATCTAGAGTTCGACTGACGTGGTTCCTTATGCCTTATGATGTCCACGTTGGAAGGATGTGCTAACCGATTGTCCCGGTTGAGAGGAGAATGTTGCGCTTGGGCCAGCTCAGTTTCCTTGGCCGCTTGCCAAACAAACCCCAGTGAAGCTTCAAGCGCTAGTGTGGAAGTTGAGCTAAAGTGTGGATGTCGCCTATCCGAGGCAGCTGGCGCCAGAAATCTCGAAGTATTTCGATGCCACTTGGGCCGAAACAACACGAGTTAATCAAAACCGGTGTGCGGCAAAGACTTTAGGTGCTGGAGTTCGGCCAGTTCCGGGTTGCCTGCCGTGAGCGCTCGCAGACCCAGGTGCCAAAATCTGACGCTCTTCTCTGTCCATTTTCGTTCCGTTTACTCTGATTTTTTCTCTTGTCAGGTGTTCGTGGCTCACATGGCCTCTGTCGTCAAGCAGAGGCTGGCCTGGCAGAGTCAAGTGGCCGCGCAAGTGCTGCGCATTGCGGGTCAAGAGTCGGGGTTGAGCAATAGAGCTCGACGTCTTTGTCATGATTACTTCACGCGAGGCCTGATGCTTACCTGGCCTGCGATCACCTCCGCGCAGACGCCCCGCCACCAGGGACTGACCTGTACAAGAGCTTGGTGTACCCGCACATGGGCAGAATCAAGTACTACCGGATGAAATCCCTAGAAAGCACTTCCCTGGGCCCGGAGATGGATGACCATCAGCTCCGTGCAGGCTGCGAAGGCCATGGCCATGGCAATCACAAGCTGAGTCGCCCTAAGTAGCCGAGTAGCCAAGCACAAACAGATGTGAAATCCAGATCGTAGGGTAGCCAAAGGCCAATCTTGTCATGATTGCACTGGCCGTTTCCGTTTCTGAGGTGTTCGGTCACTGTTCCACCCTGCTGCTCTGGGACATTGGTGGCAAGAAAACCCACACGCTGTCATCGAAATCGTTGCCCTGCTAGCGCAGCACGCCCGGCAAAGCGGCAAGCTGTGGCAATTGACGTTTGATGTGATGCTCTTGTGTTTGACCTGCGTCCGAGATAAAGGCGCTAAGGAAAAGTACGCGAAGCAAGTCCTTACCTGTTTGGAAACAGATCACTTGAGCGATGCAGACCGCTTCTATGGGTGCCGCTGCCTGGTGTATTGCGAGCCCTTCCCGGGTTTGGAAGACATGCATGCCCGCGTGCTTGGGCGCATCGTCCAGAGGAACCAGAGGGCAACGAGCGGCGTGCGCCTGTATTCCAGGTTGGCGGCGCAAACTGCCATTTACATGTGGAAGTTTGGCAGTTGGTGGTGGAGTCTCTATGTCTTCCAGCACGTAGAGGCCACAGTTCAAGATTCAGTTGCAGCGACCGTGCTCGGCGTCTACCACAGTATACACGGCAAGCCAGAGGACGAGAGCAGCTTGTAAGGCCGGCCATCGTCAAGACACGTCAAGATTTGGATAAGACTTGGATAACTGAGAGGGTCAAGCAGTGTCAAGCAGTTGTGACCTTTCCGCGCGGCGAGGGGCAGGAAGTCGACAGACACGAAAATCATCCGAGTCATCCATCGGGATCAGCGTCAGGTTCCGCAGGCCGTTGCAACAAAGACAGAGGAGCGCCTGCTCCTTCAGCAGAGTGGCGGGGCACTTGGAACACTGACCTCCCGGCTCCACAGGGTCGCGCGCAGGGCAGCAAAAAAGTTTCCGCCGCTGTTCTGTTCTCAGCCCCAAGTTTCCAAATGTATCGCTAGACCAACTCGCTGGAGCCCGGCTTGCCCTGTGCATTTTGGGCGTGGGCTTCTTGTGTAAGGTTCGAGTGCGCAGGAACCCACGCGTAAGGCGTAAGCATCAGGTTCCACGCTGTCGCCTGCGTCCGGAAGATGTTGTAAACTCATGTCAGTCCGGCAAACATGCCTAAACCTCAAGCCCCAATTGCCAAGAAAGAAAGTTTTGAAGGCTCATTGGGGCACGGAGCCGCTGGCAGTGGATCGCCTGTTCTGCGCCTTGGGTAGGCGGTGCCTGCAGCCAGGGGCCCTGACGTGATTTCCCCCAAACTTCAAAAGCCTCAAGGGGGTTCCAATTTCGTGGTGTGCACCCAAATGTGATGGGGACTTAAGGTTTGTAGCTTGCTTGAGGACTTTTACCGAGCAGTTAGTAATGATTTCCGGAAACGATCGTGATGGCGAGGTGTGTCGTAATTTCTTGAAGCAGCTACAAGCCAAATCAGTAGTTCCCAGCAACTGATCGGGGCGCCCGAAGCCCTTAAGGCTCCGAGCAATCGAGCCGTTGCGAGGTCCCAAATCAGCGTCTAGCAACCGATCCTTCAAAATGCAGCCCATGCAACATCCCTTCTGCATCGAGACCGACAAACATAATCATCATAAAAAACACTTCAAAGGTTTTGCTCCTGGGCTATCCAGTCATCTTCATTAGAATGTTGTTTGGTTTTGGTTGAAGTTTCCCGTGTCTCGGGCTTGGGTGTTTCAGGTGCTGTTGGGTCATGTGTTCCTTTCAAGTTCAATCCCCAACCCCCAAATCTTCGCAGCGGCATGATATGGCATGTTCCTCATCCATCGACTCCTGAACCTCATACGTCCCGTTTTGAAAACTACCGTCCCTGAATGTTGTAATGGGGCATTAAGTCCGGTGACTCATAAGTTCTGTATGGCGTGCGAGGGTTTGGGTTTTTGAGGGCTGAGGGTTTATCGCGTCGAGGCTGGAACGGACCAAGCGGAAAGATGCCTGCCTTCCACCAGAGGCGGTTCTGGAGGCACCCCGCGTGTTTCGTGTTTCAAGATTCCGGTGCTCGGGATTGGGGCTACAGGGACCTAAAGTATTAGCGTTTAGGGTTTATGCTTTACAGGGTTTAGGGTTTAAGGTTTAGTTAGGGGAATTCAGGTTTTGGGGGGTTCAGGCCAGAGTAGAAACGGTGCTTTAGGAGTGCAATGAGTGCAAGGTGGCGTTGGTGCTGCTTGATCCCATTGCGTTGGGAAAGGTAAGCAAGAGCAGTCCCCATCATTGTGCTCCATGCTCAGATCGTGCGAAAAGACACCTCGGATCTGGAGAAGGCATCCGGAGCGTTTCCGTTGCAGAGGAAGTGGAAAGAAAACAGTAGCAATACTGAGAATGATGCTGGAAAAATGATCATTTCCTCAAAATCCTGCACCGACGGAGGCCCATGCCATCATAGGGATGTTTCGGTTGCCCGAGCTACGAAAGCTCGTGAGGCCGAGAATGTCATGATCTCGGAGGGTGTCCTCAAAGACCGTGTCGGGCCCAGAGTGATGGCCCTCTGATCCTGCTCATGGCTTTTGAATCACAGTGTCAGCTTGCGCATCTGTTTAGGGTTTAGGGTTGAGGGTTTAGGGTTTAGGGTTGAGGGTTTAGGGTTTAGGGTTGAGGGTTGAGGGTTTAGGGTTGAGCGTTTAGGGTTTAGCTTTTGGCTGTGGTTCTGCTGTCAGTGTGCGAGGCTTCGACCTCATCTGGAACTCATGCGTTCGCGCGCGACCTGGTGGTTGACGCATGCTGCAGGTGTATTTTCATGCTTGTTGACCTTGTCCCCATGAATTTTCGGAGTATGCAGTATTGCTAGTAGTGTGATTGTCATGAACCCATAGTAATGATTTTCTTACGACTGTTACTTTCTTATAGCGTTTTTGTTTTTTTCATTCTTGTTTATACTTCCTGTTGTTGTGGTTTTCATGTTCTTGTTATTCTTTATATTATGCTTATTGTTGTGATTATGCTTGTTGCGATAATTATGCTCTATTCCTACTTTCTTCCTCTTCTTCTTGGCATGATCATCATCTCACCACCTACACTTACTGTTCGACAAGCGATCGCGGTGTCGGGTGTAGATTCACGCAAGAATCTCTTCGTCATATTGGTCCCGAGGTGAAGGCCTGATGTTGGCGTTGCCTCCAGACAGCGCCTCCTCCAGAAGCACGATGATATCATGCTGTGGCGTTTGGGTGCACAAGGGATGCAGCTGAGGTGACCACACGCCCGGGCATGAGAAGGCCGGATCCCGGATCGTTGAGAGTACAAGTGCATATGATCTGCAGCATATCTATCAATGGACCGAAATTGGACGACTTTGTGTCTGCCTTGCCAAGGAGAGGGCGGAACAAGCAGAGCGTCGCAAGGAGAAGGACTCTCGCAAGCCGGTGCGGCGCGGGAAGCCTCTGGTAAGACCGGAACCTCGCTGTTCATGTACACCTCGCGCTTTCTGTGAATCACTCCTTGGTATACTGGTAGGTGAAACGCTCATTAAGCATGCGAGAGTTCTAACTTCTTCAACCGTCGGCAGCATTAGCCTCATCAGATCTCAAGGACGAGTATCTGCCTGTCATATAACACTACCACAAGGGTCTGAAAGTCAGGTTCTCCAGGCAACACTACACTCTCTGTGTCCCTTCCTCTCTTTAGTGATACAGCGGAACAACAATGACTACAGAGGTCTCTCTTTTAGTAGCTCACGCTTTGTGCATCCCCTCGCCTGGTCTGAAGGTGGATCGCTTTGTTGTTCCTCACCATGCAACCCATCTCATGCAGACACGCGGAATGTGAACGGGATCATCAAAGGCTCCCGAGACCCCGGTGGCTCCAGTTAGCACGTCTCCTTGTTTTGGGATATGGCCCTTGTCTAGAGGGGGGGCCAATCATGGTCTTCATGATTGGGGTGCCAACATGACGGAGGTGTTCATGATTCTCCGGCACTTTTTGAAACCGTAGAGACGCCTCTCCCAGAAGCCCTGCAAACTACGCTTCTGCTATCTTCTGCTGTGACGAGCATCTCGTGCAAGCTGATTTGCTGGAGTTGGCAGGAGGAGCAGGGCACACGGCGAATGAAGCAGGCCGGGAGCTGGATTGTAATCGGTATACTCTTCGTCCGTCTGAACTTGCAAGAAGTAGAGTCATGATTGTCAAACAGTACACACTTTATCATACCAGTATCTCCACACTCATCTCTGAACCTTGGAGATGAAGGACAAGTTCGGCCTTCGCCTGCCGAGTACGCCATGCGTTGACGTTCGGGGGGGGGTTGTAAGGAATGAAAGAGTCGAAGGAAGCACTCGGTGTGTGGCAGAAGAAGCTGGAACCTGGCACTCATGATGCTCGCCTCCACGCTCGCCGAATCCCATGCTCATGATGTTGCCCCGCTGCTTCGCCGGACTTCTTCAAAGGGGCCATTGTGCCCGCGCAACCAATACGCAATACTGCGCAAAACGATGGTGATACATGCAGACTGGGTTCCGTTTTTGTGCAGGCCGGTCACCTCGGCCTTAACCGCGGGACCAAATCACCCTCAAAATGTGTTCTCCTTAATCCCTGGGCATATGAAGCACAAAACCCTTCTAGAGTTCACTGATTCCAGGCAGAAAAAACACGAAACGCCTGACAGGCTTGCCTGGCCCGCTTTGTGGCCGTCGGACAGGAGCTTTCGCGACAGGTGCGGGTGGGACTGTTTGCTTCCGGCGGGGCCTGTAGTTTACGTACTCTAGGATGCCGGACGGTTCTTCCAGGGCTGAGGGGGTCTAAAATACATACCCCACAAACGTTGTTATAAATTTGGTGGTCTAAAGTACATACCCCATCTTTCCGTGGCCTGAAATACATAACCTATAAAATTTGTTAACCTTTTCGTGGACATACATACCCCATCAAAGTTGTTGACCTTTTCGCGGTCTGAAAATACATACCCCATAAGAATTGTTAACCTTTTCGTGGTCTGAAATGCATACCCCATAAAAGTTGTTAACCTTTTCGTGGTCCAAAACACATACCCCATGAATCAAAGTTCTTAGCCTTTTCGTGGTCTGAAATACGTACTCTGTGTAGCTTCCAGGGCGCCCAAAGGTTTATACGCGGGCGTTTAAGCTGTTCAAACGGTTTCAACCGCACAATGTGGAATGCGCGGTAGGTCCCCGACGAGCGGTCCCTAGACTAGACCTGAAACCTTAACCCAAAAACTCCCAAAGCTCCAAAGCCCCAAACCCCAAAGCCTCAAAACCCCAAAGCCCCCAAAACCCGTACGCTTTGCAGCCACTGTTTGTTTATGTTTAAGCATGTGTTTAGACATGTGCTGGTTCAAACATTTGACTGTTTCAGCCGCTTAACGTTTAAGCCACGCTTAAACAGTTTTCTGAACCGCAAACGCACTTTTTGTTTAAACATTGTGCGTTTAGAGGCCGAAAGTTTAAACCGTTTGAACACGTCCCCCCGCCCAACCCTGGCATTCATTCACTGCTCTACGCCGATCTTGGGTCGATCACTAAAGGTGACGCGGCGGCAGTACGAAGCCCTCTTTCCCAACATCAGCGACGTCCTCTCCGTGAGCCGGGGGCCCCACATCACCCCAAAAACTCAAGCTCTACACCATTCAAATCCTGAACTTGATAAGCCCTTTATCAAACTTTCAAAGCTTTGGAATGTCCTCGTACATCCTGAGGCTCGACGACCCTTCGCTCGGGACAGGCCCCAATCTACAGAGCACAGCAGAGTATCGCGGAGTTGGAGGTCGAGGTTGACATGGTAGTCACTTGGGCCCCCTGCTTTGTGTGGAATCCCATGATCAAATCCTGCACGCGTAAGAACCTCCGTGTGGGCGCCAGGTGGTGGTCGTCCGCTACAGGCTGGCGGGCGCGTCTCGGCTGTTGAAGGGGATCGTTTTTGGGAGGAGACCCTTCACAAAGCCACCAAAGACTCGCACATGAGGCTCCTGTGAGCCCGCGTCCGACCTTCTCCCTGCCTTCGCTCTGTGTCTTAAGGCCTGCAACTTCTGGCATCCGAAGCATCGAGTGCTCCGCGACGAGCGGGAGCCCCTTCCCTGGCCCGTGCCACAGAAGGCGCCTTGTTGCCGAGGTTAGTTTCAGGGTTCCTTGCACCAACCTTCGACATCTTTTTACTAGACTCCTGCACGTGCGTATTGGGGTATGTGGACTTGTGTTCCCTTTACGATACTCTCCACTCTCTGCTATCGGCTCTTTACCCGGTTAAGGCAGTCCTTTACCTGCCAAGGTGGACTGCTGCAAAGCTTGTCCTGGCCGTATCGGCATAGCTGTAAGGACATCATATGCAGGTTCAAGGATGCAAGTTCCTGACATACCCTCTGGCCTGAGCATCCTGCACCCAGACCTCACAGAACTTCATTTTTTCCGCACTTACTTCACAAGCCCGTTTCAAGACAAACACCTCAACCTCACAAAATCCAAAGCTTTCCAGCAAAGCTGACTGGCTCAAGATGTACAGCCGCCAAGGCGCCGATTACAGGAAAGTCCTTCAACACATGCAGGACCCCAAAGCCCAAAGCCAAACCCCTATCTAAGTTTTGTAGCCACGAAGAGCTCCGAGACTCTGAGACCTGAGAGCCGCAAGCTTCACCGATTCATTCTCCTGACCGGAACCATGGGCTGCCGCGGGCTCAACAGGATTTGGGGATTTGGGATCAACATCTCGGGGGAATTCTGAGGCGCCTCATTCTGCCTTGTAGCCGGGCCGAGGTCACACGATTTGCGGTCATGACTGCGATGCTGCTCGGCTTGCAGGTTCTCGTCGATTTGCCTCCGGGCTTACGACGTCGGGTCTTCTCTGCAGCTTCAGCCAAGGACATTTTTGTTTACGATGCTCAGAAGACCATCCGGATTCGCGATGCGCGTTTGGGGCTTCTGCAGTATGCCCTTTGGGCTTGGAGATGGTTGAAAGCAGCCTGTGCCCATTGCGATGTGGTCATTGTGTGGTGGGAACTGAGGGCATGATGTTCATCATCGCCGCTCCTCTGCATCTACTGATGCTGTGTACATGGAGCCTGCTGAGAGAAGGGGAGGTGTAGCACTGATTGCATCCCCGGACCATGTGCAGACCGTGTATATCGTCGTCTGGCAGCTCTTGCGCGGCAACAGTTACTTGAAGTACAGGCAGTTTTGCTCTTTTTTATCTGGAGTGCCGGTTGGGTTGTTTCCGCAGCGTGCTGTAGCGACTTGGCGCAGGTCGCCAGTTGTGACAACACGAATGACACTGCAGCAGCCCACGCTGGGCAGTTGCAACCCGACTGATGCCTCCTGCCAGGGCCTTTGGTACTGGGGAATAGCTGGCTGACTCGAATCCACGGGTCCCAGAGCATCCGATGTCACGGAGGTCAGGACAACTTCCGCAAAGTCTCGGATCTCTCATACTGCTGCAGGGATGGCTGCCAGTTCAAGGCTGGGGCCCATAGCGGACTTGACGCTAGGATTCGATGCTTTCTTGGGGCGCCGAATCTTCATATTATATTATACTCATCATGGCACTCGTCCGTCTGCAGCTCAAAAACAAGGAGTACGATTCAGCTGCTCGCAAGGCGGATAACTCCTCATGCACCTGTCCTGGGCGCAGCTACACCAACTACTGGTGCCTGTCGTGCATTTCCATGGGCCTGAAACCCGAAAAAGCCCAATTTGCGCTAAACCCCCAAGCCCTACACAAAACCTCTGAAGCCCCAGACACCTGCCGAGGTGCCAGCCACCTGGCCGCACACATCCAGAGACCTCGGTCCATCGAGAGGGTTTAGGCTTAGGGTTTAGGGTTTAGAGGGGGATCCTTTCGTACTGCCCCGCCCCCCACCTTGCCTTCACTCAGGGTTTGGATTGGATTCATGTTTACAGGGTGTGCTTTGCATTTTTGAGGGTTTAGGTTCCTGTCGAACCCCGACCTTAACAAAGTAGATCCTTTCATATTTCCCAACAAAGCAACCAACGGTGGGGATGGCAAGGGATCCCACGAGAGAGTTCTCTGCGGATCCTTCGGGGGTTGCTGGGTCTTGGAGAATAAGAAGACACTTGAAACCCCCCTCCTGCTCGTGAGGCGCAGCGGGCTTAAGGTTGGGGTTGTCAGGCGTGATACGTCGCTTTAGGGCTTCAGGGTTTACGGGGCTTAAGGGTTTACGGATGTTTAGGGTTCAAGTGTCGACATTTCAAGCCTCCAAAGCCCAGAACGCAGCAACTAAGGTATGTGGATGGGGCCGGTGGCACTCAGACCTATCCTGACAACATTGCATCTCGGCGCGGGGTCTGAAAAACCCTGAATGATGGCCCTAAACGCCCTCCAAACCGAAGAGAGACTAGGAGGCCTCAGTGTGGTTGTTGCAGCAGTTGGAACGGTCGCCTATGAGGTCATCAACACTTTCAGGCACGAGTACATCCAGGAGCAGCCACAAGAAGCCAAAAGAGCATGCCGAAGTGAGTATGCAACAGAATACATGCATACACATATACACATGTAAATATGCATCTATACATATACACGATACACATAATGTGCACAATCATGTACATCATATACATGATATACGTCGTATACGTGATATACATCATATACACAGTGTGCACAATATACAAAAGTATACAATACTGTACATGAATATACATAATAGTGAGTGTGTTCTGCAGGCCTTGATTTAGGGCTCTCGCTCTCTCTCTCTCTCTACATATACATTACATATATATATATATATGTATGTATATGTATATGTATATGTATATGTATATGTTTATGTTTATGTTTATGTTTATGTATATGTATATGTATATGTATATGTATATGTATATGTATATGTATATGTATATGTGTATATATATATATATATATATCTTTATCTTGAGAAAACTCAAGGAGCGAAATGCCAGTTGTGGCCAAGATGGCTGCACCAAGCTCTGGGTCACAAGCGGCACGGAAAGCAGGCCGGGGTCGGGGAGGGGTGTTGGGACGTGATCGCTTGCTTACCATATGAGTCCTCACACACAAGACAGCTGCTTTCGGGGTGGGCGACAGCCAGGTTCATGGCAGACATCGAGGCCCCGGTGCATGGTAATGTTGCGGTTGCATGGGTACGGCAGCGCAGCTTTGGAGCTTTGGAACTGTGGAACTTTGCCAGGACTTCACCGTTCTAATCGCCCATGCCGTGCAGAACGAGGATCGGGTATGATCGAAGAATGTGCAATGGCCACAATTCTTTTTGTGGAGTCCTCATCTGTTTGTGCTTAGCTGCCACATTTAGCAGAAATCATGGATACCGGTTCTCATTGAAGTTCTCACATCATCTCATGTCGCAGACACGAGGAGCTCGGAATCACGAAGACCAGTCGCCTGGGGCTGAATCCGGCATCCGATGCCGTACTCAATGGGGGGCCCAATTCCTAAGCCCTTCAGGCGAGATGGCAGGCTGGCTCCTGGTGAATGGGACCAGCGAGCTACAGCCGCAGCCCCAAAAAGCTGTCAGGTGTGCCATGTGCCGAAGCGGCCGCAGCCACATGGCTTCTTGCCTCTTGAGGAACCAGCTCTGCAATAGTACGAACACCTCCATGACGCAGCCGTGGAAGGGCTCCCGGACCGACAAGGCAGCGAGGCTGTCCCTTGAGGGTCTCCGTGTGTTTCGAGTTCTTGTTCCATGCAGAGGCCCCCTGTTACATCAAGCCGAATTCCACAGCGAAGGCCAAGAGACGGCCTGCTTCATACAGTCATAGTATAATATATCATCATAGAATATAATTAAGCAGAAAGATACAATAGTAATGTTGACATGTTGTGCATCCGACGGAAGTTCCACGGAGGATGGCCTGGACTACTTCACCGTGGGCACCTTGATGATGGCCACTTTGAGCTGCATCCCAGATTCTTCTAAAGAGGGCTTGCTGGGTTTCGTGCCTTTGTAGGTCTATGGGGTTTTACATAGAGGGTTAGGGGTTAGGGTCGGGTTCCCTTGTTGTCGCTTTGGAAAGGCGGGAGGAAGCGTTCCGAGGCCATGGGCCTGAGTTTAGATGGCTCCAGCTACCATGGGAGTGGCCACTCCCTGCGCTACGAGGACCGGAGGGCACCCTATAGCCGAAATTGTTACGCCTCGCAAGTCGCAAGCTTTGGGCGTCTGATGTGTGTTCCCAAATGGCCCGTTGTTTACGACCAGGGCTTGACGGTGACGCTCAAGATCAAGTACTTCGATACTTGGCCGTGGCATGGAGTCTTGCTGTGCCCGGTCTGCACTGAGCTGCTGTGACCCAGCTCTGGTATGTATATATATATATATATATATATATACCATGAGTATCCGCTAGTTGTGCTCCGTTGCGCGAAGCACCATGACACGAAATACAACCTGAGAGCCGCGAGCACCTCACAGTGAATCTTCTTGTCTTCCTCATCAGGCTTGCAAAAGTCTATTTCTGCGCGGCAGCGAGAGTCACGCGAGAAGCAACAAATTCCAAGCGAAGTTTCCGCCCTTCAGATGCTCCGCCACTTTATCCAGGCGTTGAGCGAGGATTGGTACAACTCGAAATGGGGTTCCTAAGCAACACAGCTTCACGGAATTTCGCGGCCTTTTCTGGCACGGAGAGGTCGCATATTGACATATTCGCACACCTGGGCAGAGCGCAGCAGAAAGTGAATTGCCAGGAAGGCATACATACTTCGGACAGTAAGGCCTCAGCGAGTCCTCGCAAGCGGGGTTGGGATTGAGTGCTGAGGGCATCCCTGATGCAAGTATAACGAAGCATATACGGTAAGAAGACAAGAGCATTGTTCAGGGGACCCGACCGGCGGCCGCTGGTGACCTACGTGTGGGCACCTCAGCTGGCGTCTGAACCTCCAGTCGGGGAACTTGAAGATGTAGAGATACATGTTGTAAGGTTTAAAGAACTGGGACTTTGCCTCGATTTGCTGATATACAGGCATGTGGTTGAACATATTTTCTTGACAGCGAGGTACTCCCTCTCGCCGCTGACGGACAATCCGTACAAGGCCAGGTTCACTTCCAAGTCGAGAATTCCGACAGGACCAGGAGGTAGAGCTCTGAAGCCTCCTGAAGCCCTGCTGAAGGATCAGGAGAGCCCCACAGCATTATTAAGTCCCTCAATCCTAGATCCACGCCGGTCAGATTACTGATGTCCTCTACTCGGACTATCCGGAGAAGCGTCGCAGAAGGGACATGCACGGAGTCTACTTGCGGCTTGGCCCAGCCCCACCTTCAGGTTGAAGCTTTAAGGCGGGCCGTTAGTAAGTTAGGGTTTAGGCTTTAGCAGGGTTTTTAGGGTTTAGGGATTTTAGGGCTTAGGTTTTCTAGGGTTTCGGGTTTTTTGGGTTTAGGGTTTTTTAGGGTTTTCGGGGTTAGGGTTCGGTCTACTCGGCTTTGGGCCCAAAACGATCTGCGGGAGCATCCGAGGTCGGCGATGCCTGAGGCCGGCTTGTCTTAGGGTTCAGGGCAGACGCATAGTCCCCAAGTAATGGAACGGAAATCTGCTGAACTTATCTAAACTTCATACCTGATACTTATATATATATATATATATATGTATTCTTAATTTTTCTTATTGATATCATTATCATTTTAATGTTTATTCTTATTCATTTAATTCTTATTCTTTTTGTTCTTCTTCTTATTATTATTATTGTCATTACCATTGTCACTATTCATTATGTTAGTGTATATTTTTCAATGAAGACATGTGCAAGAACACAAGCCGACAGAGCCTCCGCACGCCTCCACCCCCCCCCCCCCAGAGGGCGAGCTGGGCATCTTCGACATCCAGACGCTGCTGGTGACGGTGACCACCAGCCTCACGCTCCTCGCCTTGGCCGCGACCGCGGCCCCTTGGGCCGAAGTTTCGGGTTTAGGGATGTTGAGGGATGCTTCAGGGATGTTTAGGGTTTGGGAGTTTGGGTTTGGGGTGTGTAGGGGTTTGGTTTCTAAACGTCCATGTTCTTTCGAGAGTCCTGGCACTCAGGTCAAGTACGTTGCCATGTGCGCCCGGGGTTGTACGCTGGACAGCTCAGAGGGAAATCCGGGATGGCAGGTACTTCCTGAAGCAACGTCACTACTACAAGGCCGGGTTTCCCCCCACTAGTCTGATTCGGCCGGCCTGGCCAGAATTACACATCCCAGCTCGCCAGGAGATGCTCATCCAGGCCGGCTGGGCTCCTCAGATTCCTTTGAGGGGAGCAGCTTAGCATGGGCTCCAGGTGAGCGCGGACTTCAGTGACGTACGAGATCTCGAGGTGGCCTGGACTTGGAGGGTTTAGAGGTTTTAGGGTTCAGGGCCTTTCGGGCCTTTCAGTGTTAAGGCTTGAAAAGTTCCCATGCAGTTCTGTTGACCACGCCTGGCGCCAGGGGAAATCGGACGAGGAGATCCAGGACCCCGTTCTGATGAAACTGACGGCGCAGCACGGAAGCAATGCTGGAAGCATGCTAAAGAACACTTCCCAACCACAGGAGCTCTTGAAGGACAAGGGCCTGCCCAACACCGGGAACCGCCCCGCCCTCAGAAAGGGAGCTGGGTTGGGGTTTAGGGTGTAGTGCTTGTGGTCTGGCGTTTAGGGAATTGGAGAGTCTGGGGTTTGGGGCCAGAGGGAGCGCTGTCACCAGCTCTGCAGAAGAGGCTCGCTGGCTTTATCTCCGGGGGCGAGGGGTTGTTCTAATTAGGATTTCAGACGGGGGTTTTATGATCAATACAAATTGCCCGTAGGGGCCAGGCCCAATCAAGCTCAAACGCAACGACTCAACTCCAGAGGCGTTCAGAAGATCCTGGCAATTCTCGAGGCGGGCGGGCTAGGCGTGGTGCTCAGAGAGCCCAGACCCTGAAACGACCTCTCCTTCAGGCTTTAGGCGGCTTAAGGTTTCCCGCGATCCTTCATGTGGCTCCTTTTGCTTTTGCCTTTTTGCTTTGCGTGTTTTCGTTGGGGGGTTGGGGTGGCAGGTGAGGAGGTGGGGCCCAAAAAGCCCAGGTCATCACAACCACAGCGAGCCGACGAGGTTGTCAGTGAATGAGAATGGAGGCCGCGACCTGGCATGGAGCGAAACATCTTCCAAGTCCACCCCGCAAAAGACCCTAAACCCTAAACCCTAAACCCTAAACCCTAAACCCTAAACCCTAAACCCTAAACCCTAAACCCTCAACCCGAAACCCCTAAACCCTGAACCCTAAACCCTGAACCCTGAAGCCCTGAACCCTGAACCCTGAATCCTAAACCCAGGCTTGAGCCCTGTCAGGCCAAGCGCGCCTGCTCGAGTCGGGTCAGGCGCAGATGCGCCTCCGGTGAGCGCACCGGTCTGCGTTCCCCGGGTGAACCTTCAGAGCAGGTCGGTTTAGGAACAAGACTAAAATACTAATAGTAACAAGAATAACAATACTAATAAGAAGAATAACAATACTATTGAGGGTTGAGGGTCGTACTGCGTGTAGAATAGTTTAGGGAGGCAATTTCAACACTCCCTTGCCCGATGCGCGACCCCAAGGGTTGCGCAAAGGATGGGCATCGAGAGGCAGTGACGGCATCATGTTCTCAGATCATTGCCACTGGATACTGCGAGGTTTTGTGGATTTGCGGTCAGAAGGGTGCTGTCACTGAGATCGCTTGTAATAAGCCAGCATCTCCGAATGCGAGGGCGTTCGTTGGCAGCCACGGGTGCTGGAGAAGCCAGGGCAGAATGTTCTGAGAACGCCCCCCAAACTTATCTGGGACGAGGCTGACCAGCAGCTGCGGCGTGTTTGTGCGTCGTTAACGAGTGAGAGCGCTGTCTCTGGCAAAGGGAGCATGGGGCCCCTATAAACTCTTCTTGTTCGTTGTAGCTGTTGTAGCTTCAACTCGACTTGAAAGTGCAATGTCAGCTACTTGCCGTGTGATCATCGCACTCCCCCATCACTCCACAAAAAAACGAGGTTCGACAGCAAAAGGCGCATTCGGGTGCTAGTTTGAGTGGTTTTCTAGTGATAGTGATCAACTGCCCCAGCCACGGAGCCGCGCGTTCTGCAGAGTTAGTATCGGGCTTCTGGACCCTGGCGTGCATGAAGGTGCTGCCAGCCCCTCCGACGCCGAAGCCAAAGACAACAAAAGACCCTGACTTGGCCTCTTCGGGGTTGAGGGCTTCAGGGGGGAGTTTAGGGTAGCTTCGGGTAGTTTAGGGTTCAGAAGATGACCCACCCCCTCCCCACATCCGCCCCTTTCTGTTTGGAGGTGCTGGGCGAGACGCCCTTCATCGCCCTGGTGCCGCGCGGCCTGCGCTGGACCAACGCAGGCCCCCCTTTTGCGGACCCTTGAAGGGAGTGTCGGGGGAGGTGCTTGTGGGATGCATCCTAATCCCCAAACCCTCAGTAAAAATGACACGAATAATAATGCCAATAATAATACCAGTAAAAATAACAATAACAATGACAATAACAATAACAAAGATAGTTAACAATACCAAAATCATAATCACAAAAATAGTAATCATGCCAAGAATCGTAACAATAGAAAAATAATGATGAATAACAGAAAAATAGCAATAGTAACAATAGTAACACTACTAGTGATCTGACCTCCATGGTTCCCCTCAGGGGGTGGTGGCTTCTACCTGGGCAGCCAGTCCTTCAACGAGATCGATCCAGGGCTTCGTGTCCGGGCCCTTGAACAACCTTGCTAAGCCTCTCGACGTCCTTCCCGAAATCTCTTACGGTCCCCAAGAACGCCTTGTAAGCCCTAGAGGGGCCTGCAAACCCTGTAAACCCTAAACTCTAAGAATCCTATCAAAAATCCCACCAAGAATCATGAGCCCGACCCAGGCGGATCTCCAGGTGGACCGGGATGGCAAGCTCATGCCGCGCCCTCTTCTGTGTGGGGTGGGGGGGGGGGGGTTGGGCTGTTTGGCTTGGGTTGGGTTTGGGGTTGCAGGTCGTTTCCACGGAGCAAAGGTTATATGACCTGCCCTACACTGTTTGAGGTAGCAGGTAGTTCCTTCAGAACGCAAACGGTCATAGCTGACACGCCTTGCAAGCTACTACATAATTTGTAGAGCTGGAGTCCGCACGGGGTTGGAAGCTCCCAGACACCTGTATTGCAGAGAAATTTTCAGGAATCATTGGTGCTGGTATATGTCTGTGTTGCAAAATGCCTTCGGCTTACTTTAGCTGATGGTTTCCAGACGGTTTGGACGGCTCGATGTGTCTCCTGGGTCAGGGACCTCGTGGCCAGTCAGGCACCACACTGGCACGACGAGACCACGTGTTTCCATATGTTTCCAAGCCCAAAAACTCCTCAGCCAAAACCTGAACCCTCAACCAGTAACCTCAAACCCCCAAACCCCAAACTTTAAACCCGAGAAAGAACCTCGCACGCACAAAGCAACTCAACAAGGCACGATCTTGCGCAAAACGTGCTCCGAAGAGCCCAGGATGTACGGCCACGTGGAGTTGGTAGCGCACAGGGGCCCAGAGGGACGCGCATTTCTCTCGTTCGTCGCTTCAAAGCTTGGGGGGCCTTTGAACGTTTTGAGTGGCGACTTTTGCCTTTCTGAATCCTTGAGAGCCCCTTATATTGAGATTCTTCCCAGGCCTTTCCTGCTGCGTGGCCAGAGGCGGACGGCAGCTTCGGCAGAGGAGGCAAGAGGGCAATTTGAGGTGCTTGTTCTCACCTGTGATGTGTGGCAAGACATCCTTTGGGTTATTGAGTGATTTTTGGGTCTTTGCCTCCTCCTGTCAGGACTTGGAGTTCCGCCTCTTCTGTTCGCGCAAGAATCGTGCGCACCCTACGTCCATGCAACCCGGGGCAGAACGCACCCCGGGCACTTTCACCTTAATTACAGCCTTTTGAGCCCTTGCAGAGCCGTTTGCAGCAGGAGCTTTCAGCTCGTAGAAGGTACCTTGAATTAGAATCAGAGCATGCTCAGAATAAATCTGATGATACGGATGCTCGTATGGACCAAGGCAACTGCCCCAATCAATTGAGACTCTCACTGTCCCAAGGCATCATCGGCTGCATTGGCGAGCCGCTGCGGGTACAGGTCATCCACCAGGCAAAGCTTAGCAGCTGAGTAGGCAGCCTTTAACCTTTTTAAATATGTATATATATATATGTATATACATATATACTCCCACCATAATTGTCAGGTCAGGAGGGAGAGTTCGGTCAGATAGTTGAAGTTCAAGCACCTGCGGCCTCTACGCAGGTGGTTCCGCCTCCACTTGCCCGGGCCTCAAGAGCACCCCTAAACCCAGAAGCAGCTTACGTCAACCCTAAGTCTGCGGGTTTAGGGTTTAGGGTTTAGGGTTGAGGGTTGAGGGTTTATAGGGTTATAGGGTTTAGGGTTTAGGTTTTAGGGTTTAGGGTTTGCTCCAAGGTGCAAGGAGGCAAGCCCAAACTCTCAACTCCAAACCGTCTGAGTGTCTGCAAGGCGACCCTGCAGGTCTGTTGCGACGGCCATCGTGCCACGCTCCGTCCGGATCTTTGAGAGGTGTGTTCCCTTCAGAGGTTGTCCATGGCTGTTCCTATTCCTGGTTCCGGATTCCCATCAGTAGGTTCATAAGCGCTGGAAGCCTCAAGACGAGTCCCTTTAGAGAGACACTTGCATCTTCAGAGGCTGGGCGGGATTCGAATTGGAGGAGAAGGCGCCCCTTCTGAGAGTTTCTCTCCGAGAGCGCTTTTGATTTTACAGGTGGGGGTTTCCAAAAAGTAGGGGTGAACATTATAGTTGGTAGATGGGAAAGTGTGTCGAAAGCGTCGCCCTGCTGCAGATCCCGGTCGATGTGATCCACCTTCGCGTGAAGACAGACCGCCTCACACCTACGGCAGATTGTTTTTTCGTACTGCTTCAGAACGCCCCCCCCCCCCCCCGGTGAACCTCCTTAGAATGGCCATGTTCGACTTGCTGGGCGTGTTCCCTTTTGCTTCCTGAGGCCGGGATGAGATCCTTGATGTGAGTCCGGAAGCCACCCAGTCCGGCTCCCAGAGCCTCATGGAGCCTTGGCTCGGACTGGCTTTGTTTAGGGTTTAGGGTTTAGGGTTTAGGGTTTAGGGTTTAGGGTTTAGGGTTTAGGGTTTAGGAGCCTTTTAAGCTTGCAGCTTGACAGGTACGAACTTAACGAGTTGCTCCCAGACACGGACTACGAGTTCTACCTACGCCTCCAAAGCCACGCGGGCGCAGGTGGGGGCAAGCTCTGACATCCTCTGACACCCAATCATCACAAGGGTTTAGGATGGGTTTAGGGTTTAGGGTTTAGGGTTTGGGGTTTAGGGTTTAGGGTTTAGGGTTTAGGGGTTTAGGGGGTTTAGGGGTTTAGGGGTTCAGGGTTTAGGGGAGCCGTCAGCACTGTGAGCAGGTGACAGCATCTCTTGCTCTTGCCGGACCAATGCCCGCTGTTCTCCGCCTCTGCCTCTGGGCCGCAGCTAGGCGGGTTTTAGGTTCTATAGGGCTTATAGGGTTCAGGGTCCATTTGTCAATGGTGCACTCTCCGTCGGGTTGGGATCGTTTGTTGTTTCGAAAGCCGTTTTTTTTTTTTTTTTTTTTTTTTTCTCCTCAGGGGTCTGTCGAGAGCTGGCGCCTCCACGACTTACGTGGACCTCCAGTGGAAGCCGCCACAGGCCACCATTTTGAATGCTCACCATGTGGTACCCACAAGCACTTGGTGTAGGGTTTTGGGTTTCGGGGTGCATCAGTTCCAAGAGAACTGAATGCAAAAGAAGCGCTTCTTGGGGAGGTGCTTGGGAATGAGCGAACGGGAGATCGGTGGCAGCCCCTCTGAGGAAATAATGCAGCTTCGGTCGAGGCTTGTGTGTTGTGGCACGGTTTCCTTACCCTTAAGAACCTGAACCATATGTGCCGCTGCAGCCTGACCGAGGTTGCAGGCTGAAGAAGTACGCAGACGGGCCCTCGGCTTTCCTAGTTCGCTGCTCTGGGCGCAGGCCGTTTAGACTCCAAACATCTCCAAACCCTAATACTTCTTGCTGTGCCCTTCCCGTGACTGAGTTGCATGCTGTCGTCTCCTGCCAAAGGCTACGAAGCCCAGCTGTCCATCGCCGATGATTCCCCAAGCCCCAGGAGCCGGAGCCTGTCCAAGAGCTGGGGGCTGAGGAGGCTGAGGAGGCTGAGGTCTCTCCTTGTCTTTGTTCTCTCTCTCTCTCTCTCCCCCCTCTCCCTCTTCCTATACGGCTCCGAACCCTGAAGCCTCTGCCACTCTTAATCTCCCCGAATTCGCATCGACCGACATGACGCGAGAAATAAGCCACTCGCCAGCCCGTGATCCCAACGCGCAAGTACCAACAAATTTTCTTGGAAACAGCTGGAGGCCGCACCTCCGCAGCAGCGGATCTGTCCTTGGACAAGAGCGACCTTTGCAGGCCATTCGGCGCATGGGGGTTAGGGGGAACTCAGGAGATTGAGCGGTCCGGTCTTGTGGTCGGAACCCCCCAACTCACGCGTCGCACTACGACAGTGTGGAGGGGACGCCGTAGATCCTAGAATTCTGCTGGTTCCCCTAAACCCAGTCAACCCTATAAACCCTAAACCCTAAACCCTAAACCCTAAACCCTAAACCCTAAACCCTAAACCCTAAACCCTAAACCCTAAACCCTAAACCCTAAACCCTAAACCCTAAACCCTAACCCCCCACCCCCCCCCCAAAAAAAAAAACAAAAAACAACAACAACAAAGAAAAAGGAAAAGTGTTTTTCCGAGGCGCTGCCGATGGGAGATGGGCTCCCTGCAGTCAAAGTCCTCCGAGCACCTCACTGGCCGTTTGGGGGGCCTTCGAAGCTCGGCCCAAGGGTCTCTTAGGGGGGTTTAGGGGGTTTTGGGGGAGTTCGGGGGGGTTTTGGGGGGTTTGGGGAGGTTTTGGGAGGGTACAGGGCAAAAGCCTCCTGATTGAGAGACGCTTGTGCTCGTAAGGTCCGGACACCCTCTACTCGCTGGAGATGTTCTGCGCCGTGAACTCCATGGGTGCCCCCTTTGAGACAAGCGAAGCCCGAATTCTTCACAGATTGGAAATACGAAGTGAACTCTGAAGAAGAGCAAAACCTCAAAAACTTGGAAGCTTCAATTTTTTGAAGTGTGAGAGGCGCCGGCACAGCGGCCCGGGAGCTGCAGTTTTGGACCATGCCCCTGAATCCGATCATCGACAGCCGGGGCCATACTTCCCCCAAAAGAGGAGTCGCGCTGATGCGCGCGGCTGATGTGTTTCCCTGTGCCGAGGCATCCGCGTGCGACAAGGCAAATTGCTGAGCTTTGCCAGTTTGTGATCCAGCGCAATTTTGGCTTTGGAGGTCTGGTGGTCCTTACTCTCCGAGAGGTAGGGGGCGGGCACGTCCGCGAGTTCGTGCGAGACCTAGTGCTTATGTGCCAAGCTGGGTTGGCAGTTGTTTGCTTGAACCGGCCAGCCTTTTTTAGGCATCGACCCTCGATCATACAAAATGAGCAGCATGAAGACCTGCTCACACACTGACATGGACTGTTCATATAAACCGTTCATCCATCGGTAGACATCGTCGGATGGCCCTGGTGATCCGGGTGGCGCTGCTCGGTTTGGGCAACGTGGGCAAGGCAGGAGCTGCATCGCCGTTGTCGGAGGGGCTTCAATTGCGTCAAGCGGTCCCCTTCTTGCCAGGCCTTCTTGCGCTTGCTCCAGTGCAAGGAGGACGAGCTCCTCTCACGCCACCCGGTGCTCTGCTTTGCGGAAGTCTTTGTGGTAACCCAAGGCTCCCAATTTGGGGGAGCCCTCCTTTGGGCGCAGGCCTAGCACTGGCGCACCCGAGGTTATGGTCTTCGGGTGATTGTGGTTGGCATCGTCGGCCACCCAGGTTCACAAATCCGGACCCAAAATCTGACAACCCTCGAAACCCTACATAAACCTACTAAAGACTCTCAACCCTAATCTGAGGCCACACACAGCCGTGGCGTCGTCGCCAGCCCGGATGGCTTGGACCTGGATGCCTGCCCGGGCTCCCGAATTTTGGGGAGTTTTTTTGAAGTTGCATGGGGTGGAAAAACTCAAGCACGGACACATCGCCCTCAACTAATTTAAACCCGAAACCCTAAACCCCCAAGCCCTGCTACCCGGCACGGTCATGGTGCTTAGGCCTGGCGTCCCCCAGTCTTGCTGGCCTTGGGACCGAGCTTGAGGATGCGAAGGCCAGGGCCCTGGCTCTCGACTGAGGGTTTAGGGTTTCGGGTTTAGGGCTTCGGGTTTCGGGTTTAGGGTCTGGTGCTTCGGGTTTAGGGTTTCTCCGGCTTAGGGTTTCTCGGGTTTGGGGTTTGGTGCTTCGGGTTTACTTAGGGTTTAGGGTTTAGGGGTCTGGGGCTTTAGGGCACTTAGGGGGTGCAGTGCAGGGCTGGCGCGGTTGTGTTGGGTGTGTGAATCTCTTCCGCTGGTAGATCAGCAGCGTTCTGTGGGGCTTCGTTCCCTTCTGAGCCCCTACATCTGGCTTCAGCAGGCCGAATGCTCATACACCAGTTCCCCGAACCCTAAACCCAACCCCGCACTCAAGGCGCCGGTCGGCCGCCATTGAATCCCCCAGCGTCTGTGAAGCTCAAACCCTATAAGAAACAAGCCGCAAAACCCCAAATGCTATGGACCCTACTACTAAACCCTGAGCCTTATGTTCGGGAACCCCCAAGACCGCATCTAGAGGCCCTCCTCCAGCACCTGAGCGGACACTGCGATGCAGTGGGGGACCCCAGCTAATTGGCGCCCACAGAAATCACAATGCGGGGGGTTGCGGGGGTTGCCGAAAATAGGGGTAAAGTAATATGGAGGTTCCTAGAATAAGTCATGCGTGCAGTAGTTTTATGGGGGTGCCATAGAGCCACCCTCTGAGGTCACCCTCTGTCGGAAGATGCTCAATATAGCCCCTGAGCCTTTCCAGGTCCTGGAGGCCATCAACGCCTCGCATCGGGACGGCCAGCCGGCCCTAGATCTTCTCGAGGCGGCCCTCCGCCTCACGCCCCCAGCCTCTGGGATGCGCCTCAGTAAACCCTGAACAGCCCTGAAGCTTTTTTAGCAAACCCGTATGCGTATGTGGGTTGAGTTTGTCTCGAAACCCCAAAACCCCAAAGCCTAAGTGCAGATGATCGCTTTGGCAACCGAGGCGCATGCCATCACTGCCAGCAAGCCGCCTGTTGCTTTCGGCTATCGCAGGCTTTGGTGCAGGGGTAGACCGCTTGCCCAATAGGGGTCCCTACACCCCCCCCCCCCCCCCGGTCCTTGCTGTGGGAATTATTGGCACAAAAGTGCCCATTTTAGGAACCCCACCCCCTCCAATGTGATTGAGAGAGGTGCGGCTTGGCCTTTGAAAGTTTGCGGGTTTCCTGGGGAGGCTTTCGCAGCTCGCTTCCCAGAACCAACGGCGCTTCCTCTTCGAGTCCAGCGTGATGGACGGGGCCGCCCGCTTTTACAATCCGGGTTGGAGGTTGCGGGCGAAGTTGCCCTTCATGATTATCGCCTTGGGGGTTATGTTTGATTTGAAATTTGGCTCATAGAACATAGGGATTCAGAGTTCGCTCAGAGGGGCCGGGTTTGTCAGAAATTGTGGGGTTGCTTGAGGTCCTCTGAAGGGCTTCCACTGCGCGGTTGAGCTCTGCTCCTATTCTTGCAAAACCTGGAAAAACCTGCAAACTCCCGACCCTTAGCCCTGTAAACCCGGAGCATCAATGAAACCGGTAGATCTCGTTTCACATATCCTGAGGCCGAAGCCCTAGTTTTCGGGAACTGTGGGGATGAGGTATCCCCTTTCAAAAATTTCCCGCAAGGGATGATGGGTCATGATCTAGGGACCCGTGTTCCCTCAGTTTCCGAGGAAGAAGCCTAAGCCAACTGCGAGGTTCCGGTCTTCTCCCTGCTGCGGCAGCTGCCCGGGGCCTGCGTGCGCCGAATCTCCGGCATCCTCAACTCCACCACGAACCTCATCCTCACCAGGATCCCCTCTTCTGCTGTTTTTAAGTCTTTTTCAGGAGGGCCGAGGGGGGGAGGCGAACTGCTTTTGAGGAGATGTTTGGGGGAGATGTTTGGGGGAGATGTTTGGGTTTTTGGGGGTTGTTTGATTCGTTGATTCGTGGCGCCTCAGCTTGGGAGGATGCAGTCAGAGGGCTGCACCTTGGAGGAGGCCGTGGAATTCGCGCAGGACCAGGCCTGGGTGGACCCGGGTTGTTTTCCAAGTTGAAGGTTTAGGGTTCCGGGTTTAGGGTTCAGGGTTTAGGGTTAGGGCTGAGGGTTGAGGGTTTAGGGTTTAGGGGTCTTTGTGTTGTTTAGGGTGTCTTGTTGTTGTAGGGTTCAATTCAGAAGATAAAGGCTACCGGGACCCTTTCTGGTATGTCTGGGCGCGCAGCACCTGCACGAAATCCGAGGCTATCCGCAACCACTACCACGACTATCCAGACCTGAAATGGCAACTGAATGGCCAAACCAAACAAAGTTCAGGCAAACGACCCCGCATGAGGGAAGGAGAAGAAAAAGAGAAATATCATCAACACCTGCTGCTTCCGGCGCCGTTGCTTGCAAAACAATGCAGTAGCGCCGTGCCGATTCTATCCCAGATGCCCAGTAGCCACGGATGATTTCATTTTGAGAGTTCACGCGCCTGCTTTCTTTCGGTGTGTCTCCTCATGCCGGTAGGGCATTGCTGAGCGGGACCCGTCCGATGATCTCGACGGCAAGGATGGTGGGCCGAGCCTTTAAGTTTGGGGGCAGCAACTGGCTGGGAGATGTGATGTGTAAATATATGCACCATTTTTTTTCTCGCTCTCTCTCTCTCTCTCTTATAGGAATACGTATTTATGCATATATATATATATACATATAGAATATATACATATATCTATCCGCAACATCAACCTCAACACCCAGCCCTCCACCAGGACGCGGCAGTGAAGCTCTGCTGCCTTTCCGCGGTGGCATTTCGCCGTGACGTCGACCCCGTGCCAGACCCAGCCATCCCGCGTAGGGCGAACGCTGCGCTGATTCTCGAGATGTAAGGATTGGGGGCTTGGGGCTCTTGAGACCCTTGTGTGAGAATACCGTGGGATGGCTTTAGGAGCATTTCAGAACTCGCGGCGTCGCGGTCGCGCGAAGTGGAGTGACTTTGCATTGCATCAGGCCCAGATTCCCACAGCCAGCATTCGCGGCATCACGCTGGCGGAGGCCTGTATCATGAAAAGGGAGACCAGGCTGTCACCTGAAAGCCCCAAGCCCTAAAATATACAAAATCAAGCCTGTTGAGCTGATATAAGAAATCAAGCCTGTCAAGCCTTGAAATCCTTGCCACATCCTTTGCCTCCTGGTGAGCTTATGTTTGTTACGGACGCGTATTTGATTTCTCGATGTATATGTGAATCCAGAACAATTGCCGGGAGGGGCCTGGAGCATCAGACGAACTAGTTCAACATAGAGAGCCCTGATTAATGCTTTGGTTGGCTTCAACTTTGTCTCAAGGACTGTGTCACCGCTTTGTATCCCGTAATCCGCTGATCCAATCCAATCATCCACTCCATGAGCGGACCTTCAGAATTCAAGTTGCAGTGGTGTGGGCCTTAAATGGTAAACCATGGGAACTCGCGAAGGGAAAGGCGGCACAGCGCCGTGCACAGCGTCAAAAAAAAAGGAGCTCCTTGCCGTGTTACTTGCAAGGGCCTCCAGGGAGCCAATGTCATCAAAGACGCAGAGGAGTTTCAGGAAGTTCAAGACTCGTGCATCAAACGCATATATTGAGAAGGATTTCCATGCAAACCACATGAGCCACGTGAGCCCCTTTGTACAGATCTCCATGCTCAGACGGTCGAGTTTCGCCATGTTGAAGTGTACTTTGGCCAACGGCCAAGGAGTGTACAGGCCACTTCCAAAACCACCCCGGGCCCATACGATTTTTTTCATTGGAGCGCAGAACCTCACGAATACTCGCGGGACTTATGAACCATGGCATTAGGCATTTGTGAGGCCCGGGAACACTGCGCAGACTTTTTGCGGCCGCAGTTCAGGACAAAATCTTTCATCCTAGTGACAAGAACATGCAATATGCTAATACCCTTTTTTCTCCCGTGTCGTCACCTTGTGATGGAATGGGGTTCCCTCCCAACTCGTATTGCCTCCTTGTGCGCGACAGATTCGGGACGCTGCGTCTCGTGGACTGGCTGTGAAGGTTGCCTCGGCCTCTGCCGAAAGGGCTCTGCTCAGTATACTTATAATATATTATATTATATTATATTGTAGTTCTATGACATCATACAACATTATATGACAATATTTGTTGGCATTTACCTGCTGACTGCAGTCCTCGGAGCCGAGGTCTGTGAAGCGGAGCTGGTGGATGGTGAGGTCAAGGCCAGTGTGTCCTTGATGCCTCGCTGCACGAAGACTCCCCCACGCAGAACACTCAGAAAAACAGGCAAAAAGCCTCGCAGCGTGCGCGCCCTCTTTAGCCCAGCTTGTCTTTCTCCAAGGAGGCACCTGCCCCTCACGAGCGCCATCGGTTGCCTGCAAGGCGCATCGTCTGCCGCGGGCTCAGGGACTTTAACTTTCAGAAATGTGGGTCGTTTAAAGGGACCATAAGACAGCAGTCCCTTAAAAGGTGGCATCCTTAGGAATGCAAAGATTAGGGTTATTTTGGGGGGGGCGGCAAGGCGACGCTGAAGTTCATGACGAGCTGAGTCTGAACCCTAAAGCCTAAACCCAGACGGCTCTGAGGCGGTCACCCTGGAGACCGATGTCCTGGCGCCGGTAACCGTAACATCCACAGATCCCACGACCATGGACACCGCTTACGGACTTCTTCAGGAGAGACCGAGGGTTGCTTGTGTGTGCTGTGTGTCCGATTATGTGATTACATATTTTTCATGTGTATGTATCTATATACATATCTACATATATGATATGTGATGCTACAGAGCAAAGATCTCCGAGGATCTCCTGACGGCGGTGGTTGGTGATGGCTCTGGGCTGCGATGAGCTCCAAGAGCTGCTGCGGCACGTGCCCCACAAGCTGCAAAGGCCAGACCGGCCATCGCAGGACCTTCAACGAGAACAGCGGGCGAAGAGTTGAAACAGTGGGATGCAGCTGAATCTGCCGTGCGGATCCGCGTGGCCCATGACGGCCCATGATGGCTGAAGTGCGAGCGTGTGGGGGACTGTTGAGGGGGAGCTCAGTGCCGGAGAGCCGCTCGGCCATGCCTCTCATGGTCACGTGATCCAGCCCAAGCGCGTCAAAGCAACCCAGGCATCGCACCGGGATCTGCTGGATTTCAGGTCGCGGTAGGGAGCATGGATGGCTTCGCTGCGACGGAGAAGCTGAGTTCGTGACAGTTAAACGGCGGGAAAAAAGGGTGCTTGAAAGCGGCTTGAAGCCCCAAGCTGCTCCTGAGCTGCTGACCCTGATGCCTAAGGAGGTGCTCGTAAAGCTGGAGGGTGGTGAGGAGAAATCCTTCCTGATGGAAGAGGCCCGAAAAACTGCAATCTACACTCGCGCTCAATTTAGTGACATAGAAGTTTGGAGGAGAAGCTGCGACGCTTCGCCGATGAAATGCCAGAGCTGCACGCACCCGAGATCATGGACATTGCTACTCTGCCAGCCTCAGCATCCTGCCTAGTGACATCGAGTGACTTTGGTGCCAAGGGTTCGAGGGTTTGGGGCATAATTAGGGACGAGTTTCCTTAGCAGGGCCACAAGGCACAAGCCGAGCCTTGGGACACGACTTGAAGTTGCAAGCCCTACGTACCTTCAGCGGCCCACCCATCTTCCCAATTTTGCCATATTTTGCCGAGGCCCCTACAGTTCAAGGAGATGCCAGACTCGAGCAGCAGCGACGCTGAGCACTTCGTGAAACTCAGGCCGGCGGTGCTGGAAAGCATGTACTGATTTTTTTTGTGAGGGCTTTGGGACTTCTAGTGTGAGGGCTTGTGGGAATAAGCTTACAGTACTAGTAAACCTGCGTACGTGAACCTGCTGGCAACAGCCTTGCCAGCAGCGAGCAGTTTCATCCTCCCCCGAAAACAAGTCTACCCAAACCCCCAAACCCTTAAAGCAGTAGAGAGCCCGACCTGCCAGGGCCAGGAACCCAGGCGGATGGTCTACATGGAGCGAGGCGTCCTTCATTCCACGCTTGGGGTGTTTGGGAGTTTCTTGTTTCGGCTGCTTGGTGTTTAGATGAGCATCCGCACATCATAGCTTCAAGAAGGACAAGCTTTAGCCTGACCCTTCTTCCGATGAAGAGCGCCGTAGAACGTAAAGAATTCAAGTCCGCCGTGCACGTAAATCCATCTCCAGCGATGTGTTGTGCGTAGAGAGGTCGCAGGCCCTAGAAAGCCATGCTTCCATGGAGGAAGTGGTGACCAGCTCCATTGCTCGACAGCAGGGCGCGGATAACGCCCAAAGGGCCCTGGAGCAGGCCTTTTGCCCTTGGCGCAGGGAAATTTTTGGGGAGAATGTGTCTGTACTATGTAGCCTTGCGCGGCAATCGCTGCGGCGCTGTCTCATATCCTTGCCATGAAAGGCCATGGCACGGCGGGTGCCAGAGAACCTGATGAAGGTCCTCAAGGCCCACCAGAAATCTGTGAGGGCTGGGTCTGCAGCTTTGGGGGAAAGAAGGACCACTGCTGCAGGACATGACGGGAGAGGGGAGGCCGGTGAGGGACAAGCCAAAGTGAGGATGTCAGGGACATCGAGTTCGACGACAAGACCCTGGTCTCGGAGGCCCGTCGCGGCATCTTGAGCCAGTTGGCTTCTTGAACCCTAAAGACTTAAGGGCCTTTCAAGGGCCTTTCGGTCCCAGGCGACGGAGCTCCTGGAGACCTTGCAGGCCGTTCAGACGAAGGTGTGGCCGCAGCACTCAACCCCCTGAACCACCAAACCCCCCCAGAAAAGACCCACGCAATAAACCCTAAGAAAGCAAAAACTATGAATCCTACAAAACCCCCGGGGCTGACAGGTTGGTGAGGCGATGGTGTCGCGGGATCCCGAGAATCTTCAGCGAGTTCTGGCCGAAGCTCAGAAGGCCGCGACCCCTTCGCGAGGAATTCGGGTACTATAGGGTCTACAGGGAGGGTTTAGGTAGGGTTTAGGTCGGGGTTAGCGGAGTTGCTTGCAGGCTGCAAGCGCAGGGTGCTCTTCGTTCTCTAAACCCCTTCCCTGCCCCGTGAAGCCTTTGACCCCTGACCGTGCAGGTCTCGCTTCCTGGCTTGGAGAAGGCTCTCGAGCTGCGCAGCAGTGCCTTTGTTTGCTCCCAAAAACTTGGTGCTTTGCATTTGGAGGGTGTGCACAGGCCCAAGCCCTGCTCGACCACCTGCAGAGGGTCTGTAAGAACCTCGACACGGCCAAGCATCCCTGACTTGCCTTGGCTTGCCTTGGCTTGCCTTGCTGGCCAGCAGCTCTCTTGCACTGAAAAACGCCCTGCCTCTGAGCTCTCGTGATGTGATCTCGGAGTGACTGTTGGGCTTTCGGGCTGGCTTTCGGCTTGCTCGCGTTGGACTTCAGCTTGCGTAACGAAAGGCATCTGCGATTTGTGCAGCTGGGATGCCAATAAAAGCTGCCCTCCATAATCGCTGTTTGCACGCACTGAAGGGGAGGGAGAAGATGCTGCCATCTGCCAGGGGGATCGATGCGCTGCGCGCAGCGCTGCGCGACGGGCACGAGGCCTGCAAGCTGCCAGAGCTTGTCACCTTTGCCTTGAAGGCAGCTTACAGGACACGGTAGGGCCTCCCCGTCCCAAGCAATGCTTTGCAGGCGCGCCTGCCCGCGCCGATCCTGCAACGCGCTGTGCAGCGCCTTGGCACACGCGAGGCCCGTGTCACGGAACTCTGTTGCCGAGCCAAGGACGTCCACCCCCTCAAAGCCCTCAACGGCCCCAAGCCGAACACATCTGAACACCACAAGGCCCTTTGGGACCTCTCAACCCTGCAGGCAGCCCAGCAGGGGCTCGAGATGGCGATGGAGGAGCCCCGGGCATGGGGTGCAGGTTGAGTATGGTGGAGTATCCCGCCTTTGAATGTACCGGGTTGCCGATACACAAGGGCTTCTAGTGGGCTTCTGTAAAAAGGCTTTGGGATGCTTTGGGCTCCGATTCCCGGAGGGTGGCCAGGCAAGCGCAGCTGAAGGTGCGGTTTTGGTGCTCCTTCGCTCCATCCACGCAACCTCTTGATCTCGTGCGCAGCGCTTGTCCATATCAGATCCTTCTTTCTTCACTCGGGGTTTATAAGTCGCATCTTGGGTTAACTGTATGGAGTTGTGATTGAGGCCGGGGTGAAAAGTTAGTTGCATGTCATACACTTTGCCATGACAGGCCGCCCGTGTGCCCGTTCTACGGGCCGCGCTGGACACCGCGAAGGACATGCATCTGCCTTCGGAGGATGCAGCCCTGCATCGCCCTCGGATCCAGAATCCCGACCGCTCCCAGGTTTAGGGTTTACGGTTTAGGGTTTAGGGTTTAGGGTTTAGGCCTCGAAGATTTCACCAGCTTACCCCTATGGAGTCTCGGCAAGTTCTTGCTGTTTGAGTTCCTCGCAGTGCGAGCATGCCTGCAGCAGCATGCAGGCGTGCTGCTTCAGACATTGTGAATAAGTGTACACAAGTGTTCGCTGCCTTTAGGCTGTCGGGAGTGAAAGTCTGAAGTATCCTATACCAACCAACCAGCTGCGGTTGTGCGGCAGCCCATGTTGTTGGAGAGCCTCAAACCCTCAATCCTCAAAGCCTGCTGCCCGAAACAACCGCCTCACCTACCGGAGAGGTCCCTGCTGAAAGCCATCTCGCACTCCGAGAATCTCTTGCAGGCAAAGGGCAATCTTGGAAGCATGGGGGGTATGCTTTCAAATGGGGGTCTTTTGGAGGGATCCATGCCAGCGCGATCCTCGTCAACTTCACAAGTTCCCCGCACGTTAGGCACCTGCCATTCCCGACGCTGACCTGCCCGGAACAGGCGTCGCTGATCTCCCGCGACATCCGCGACCTTGAGCGGGCACTTGACTCGTCAGCGGCGCCCCAAGAAAGAAATCCCTGCACGGTAGTTGCTTCCGTCAGGGCTGGGATTTAGATTTGTTGTTTAGTGTTTCAGATCAACAGAGCTCAACAACGAACATGGCAAAGCAATTGCTCGGAATATCACGCACCCGTGACGATGGAGAGAGGGGACAAAGGGATTGCCAAAAAGTTGCTCGACCATATCAACCCTGTCAGCCTTAAAAGAGCCCCGCAAGCCCTGCAAACCCTCCAGAACCTAAACACGAAGCCGTCAACTGGGGGGGTCTCACCTATGGGCCAAGGACAAGTCCGGGCTGCGGGAGGATGAGCTGATCATGCGGGCCGCGGCCCTAGAGTTCGGGTGTTGGGTGTAAGGGTTTAATGTCTATAGCTGTAAGGTTTAAGGGCAAAGCCAAAGGGTTTAGGCTTACAGGTTTCAGGGTTTAAGGGTTTCTCGGGGATTTGGGCAGTCACAGTCTCGTCCGCTCTGTCACGGTCTCTTCCGCTTCTCGGGGTTGTGGGCTGTCACGGTCTCGTCCGCTTCTCGGGGTTGTGGGCTGTCACGGTCTCGTCCGCTTCTAGGGGTTGTGGGCTGTCACGGTCTCGTCCGTCCGCTTCTCGGGGTTGTGGGCTGTCACGGTCTCGTCCGCTTCTCGGGGTTTTGGGCTGTCACGGTCTCGTCCGCTTCTCGGGGTTGTGGGCTGTCACGGTCTCGTCCGCTTCTCGGGGTTGTGGGCTGTCACGGTCTCGTCCGCTTCTCGGGGTTGTGGGCTGTCACAGTCTCGTCCGCTTCTCGGGGTTGTGGGCTGTCACGGCTTCTCGGGGTTGTGGGCTGTCACGGTCTCGTCCGCTTCTCGGCGTTGTGGGCTGTCACGGTCTCGTCCGCTTCTCGGGGTTGTGGGTTGTCACGGTCTCGTCCGCTTCTCGGGGTTGTGGGCTGTCACGGTCTCGTCCGCTTCTCGGGGTTGTGGGCTGTCACGGTCTCGTCCGCTTCTCGGGGTTGTGGGCTGTCACGGTCTCGTCCGCTTCTCGGGGTTGTGGGCTGTCACGGTCTCGTCCGCTTCAAGGGGTTTTGGGCTGTCACGGTCTCGTCCGCTTCTTGGGGTTGTGGGCTGTCACGGTCTCGTCCGCTTCTAGGGGTTGTGGGCTGTCACGGTCTGGTCCGCTTCTCGGGGTTGTGGGCTGTCACGGTCTCGTCCGCTTCTCGGGGTTTTGGGCTGTCACGGTCTCGTCCGCTTCTCGGGGTTGTGGGCTGTCACGGTCTCGTCCGCTTCTCGGGGTTGTGGGCTGTCACGGTCTCGTCCGCTTCTCGGGGTTGTGGGCTGTCACAGTCTCGTCCGCTTCTCGGGGTTGTGGGCTGTCACGGCTTCTCGGGGTTGTGGGCTGTCACGGTCTCGTCCGCTTCTCGGCGTTGTGGGCTGTCACGGTCTCGTCCGCTTCTCGGGGTTGTGGGTTGTCACGGTCTCGTCCGCTTCTCGGGGTTGTGGGCTGTCACGGTCTCGTCCGCTTCTCGGGGTTGTGGGCTGTCACGGTCTCGTCCGCTTCTCGGGGTTGTGGGCTGTCACGGTCTCGTCCGCTTCTCGGGGTTGTGGGCTGTCACGGTCTCGTCCGCTTCTCGGGGTTGTGGGCTGTCACGGTCTCGTCCGCTTCTCGGGGTTGCGGGCTGTCACGGTCTCGTCCGCTTCTCGGGGTTGTGGGCTGCCACGGTCTCGTCCGCTTCTCGGGGTTGCGGGCTGTCACGGTCTCGTCCGCTTCTCGGGGTTGTGGGCTGCCACGGTCTCGTCCGCTTCTCGGGGTTGTGGGCTGTCACGGTCTCGTCCGTTTCTCGGGGTTGTGGGCTGTCACAGTCTCGTCCGCTTCTCGGGGTTGTGGGCTGTCACGGTCTCGTCCGCTTCTCGGGGTTGTGGGCTGTCACGGTCTCGTCCGCTTCAAGGGGTTGTGGGCTGTCTCCGTCTCGTCCGCTTCTAGGGGTCCGCTTCTTGGGGTTGTGGGCTGTCACGGTCTCGTCCGCTTCTCGGGGTTGTGGGCTGTCACGGTCTCGTCCGCTTCTCGGGGTTGTGGGCTGTCACGGTCTCGTCCGCTTCTAGGGGTTTTGGGCTGTCACGGTCTCGTCCGCTTCTCGGGGTTGTGGGCCGTCACGGTCTCGTCCGCTTCTAGGGGGTTTGGGCTGTCTCGTTGTCTCGTCCGCTTCTCGGGGTTCTGGGCTGTCACGGTCTCGTCCGCTTCTAGGGGTTTTGGGCTGTCACGGTCTCGTCCGCTTCTCGGGGTTGTGGGCTGTCACGGTCTCGTCCGCTTCTAGGGGTTTTGGGCTGTCACGGTCTCGTCAGTGTCTCGTCCGCTTCTCGGGGTTGTGGGCTGTCACGGTCTCGTCCGCTTCTAGGGGTTTTGGGCTGTCACGGTCTCGTCCGCTTCTCCGGGTTTTGGGCTGTCACGGTCTCGTCCGCTTCTCCATGTTTTGGGCTGTCACGGTCTCGTCCGCTTCTCGGGGTTTTGAGGTCTGTCACGGTCTCGTCCGCTTCTCGGGGTTTTGGGCTGTCACGGTCTCGTCCGCTTCTCCGGGTTGTGGGCTGTCACGGTCTCGTCCGCTTCTCGGGGTTGTGGGCTGTCACGGTCTCGTCCGCTTCTCCGGGTTTTGGGCTGTCACGGTCTCGTCCGCTTCTCCGGGTTTTGGGCTGTCACGGTCTCGTCCGCTTCTCCGGGTCGGGGCTGTCACGGTCTCGTCCGCTTCTCGGGGTTTTGCGCTGTCACGGTCTCGTCCGCTTCTCCGGGTTTTGGGCTGTCACGGTCTCGTCCGCTTCTCGGGGTTGTGGGCTGTCACGGTCTCGTCCGCTTCTAGGGGTTCTGGGCTGTCACGGTCTCGTCCGCTTCTCGGGGTTTTGGGCTGTCACGGTCTCGTCCGCTTCTAGGGGTTTTGGGCTGGTCACTGTCACGGTCTCGTCCGCTTCTCGGGGTTGGGGCTGTCACGGTCTCGTCCGCTTCTCGGGGTTTTGGGCTGTCACGGTCTCGTCCGCTTCTCGGGGTTTGTGGGCTGTCACGGTCTCGTCCGCTTCTCGGGGTTTGTGGGCTGTCACGTTCTGGGTCTCGTCTTCTAGGGGTTCTGGGCTGTCACAGTCTCGTCCGCTTCTAGGGGTTTTGGGCTGTCACTGTCTCGTCCGCTTCTAGGGGTTTTGTGCGCGTGTCACGGTCTCATCCGCTTCTAGGGGTTTTGGGCTGTCACGGTCTCGTCCGCTTCTCGGGGTTTTGGGCTGTCACGGTCTCGTCCGCTTCTAGGGTTTTTGGGCTGTCACGGTCTCGTCCGCTGTCGATTCCCTCAAAAAGCTGCGCCCGGAATCTTATTGAACACGTTTCACAGGAACAGGATTTCAGGATCGATTCTGCAAGTTGATTTCGGATTAAAGCGTGCAATGTAGCAAGTGAGATTCGGTTAAACCATCCACGCTTCAAGCATCTTGTCTGTTTGCAACTGGTCTTCAGAGATTTTTTCTTGCGCCAAATCTTGAATTGCAAATTATCTTCAAGTGTTTTTCTCGGGGAACATATCTGGAGTTGTAACTTCTCTGCAGATGTTTTTTTGGCAGCAAATCTTAAATCTGGACCCACAGCTTTTTCTTCAATCAAAAACGTGAGGCATAACTCCTCTTCGTGTGTTTTGTCTGGCGCCCAATCATGAGCTGCAACTTCTCTCCAAGTGTTCTTGATAGCACAAAATCTTGAGTTCAATCTATGTATGGCTTCTCTTCAGTGTTTTCTCCGGCACCAAATCTTGATGTTCAACTTCTCTTCCAGTGTTTGGTCTGGCACCAAATCTTGAGTTGCAGCTTCTCCTCATGTGTCTTTCTTTGGCGCCGAGTTGCAACTTCTCTTCAGTTGTTATTCTGGCGCCAAATCTTGAGTTGCAATTTCTCTTCAAGTGTTTTTGTTGGCACCAAATCTTGAGCTGCAACTTTTCTTGGCAGTGATTTTGTCTGACGCCAAATCTTCAGTTGCAACTTCTCTTCAAGCTTTCTGTCTGGCACCAAATCTTGAGTTGCAACTTCTCTTCAATGGTTATTCTGGCGGCAAATCTTGAGTTGCAATTTCTGTTCAAGTGTTTTTGTTGGCGCCAATCCGCAGAAGCTGCTTGCACCGTAGAGAGAGAATGAAAGTGTTTTCGCCTGACACCAAACCTTCAGTTGCAACTTCTCTTCAAGCATTCTGTCCGGCGCCAAAATCTTGAGCTATTCAAGTGTGCTGACTAGCAGCTTCTCTTCAAAGTGTGTGTTGACTAGCACCAACTCTTGAGTTGAAGCTTCCCTTCCAGTGTTTTCGTCCTGGCGCCAGATCTGGGACTGCAACTTGATTCCCAAACTCGGCGATTTCATTTAGCGATCGCTTGTAGAGTCGACGAACTTTGGACCCACTGCTCTTGCCCGCTTGAAGACATTTTGTGCAGCGATGAAGCCCGTGCAATAACGACGAGACAGGAGAGAGGATGGAAGCACAGATCATCTCTTAAGCAGAATTTAGCCCCAGAAACTTTGGGACAGCTTGGTGATCTGACGTTTACCTTTCAAGCTCCTTTGCAAGTTACTTTAAAATTAAAGCGCATCATGAAAACTTCTCGCATGTGGATCCACGCAATGGGAATAAGCAAGGCAGATCGAACGAGAGTAAAATACAAAGGAAGAAACGAGATAGAAGGAAATATAAAAAGGAAGACCAGAAGATAAACCAAGATAGTTTCCTTAAAATGTGTTTATAAACAAACCCTAAAAGGCGGAGCTGGTTAAGGGTGGGAGCCGCCCTTTACGGGCGCGGGTGGGAAAAGAAAAAATGGCGCGGCCGATACAAGGCCCCAATCTCGGAAGGTCTCGAGCGCATTCCGAAGCCGAATTATGAATTCCCATCGCATTTGTGTGACCAAGCAGCTGAATATCGATGCCTATATCCTGCACAGTTTTTCTTGCGGCTTGGGGACGTACAGCCTGCAAGGATTAACGCTTGGGCTCGTGCCCAAGAAGGACTCGAAGAGTTTTATTCGTAAACGCCCACCTCCTCTACCCGGCTCTACCCTGTAGACCCTGTAGACCCTAGACATCAAACCCCAATCCCCAAACCCTGAGCTTTGTGACCCTTCCGAAAAAGAGCGCGCGAGCCTTTGGGCAATGAAGTTGGTCTAGAGCCCCTGCTAGGCACTGGTATTCTGGCAAGTGCACTCTCTCTCTAGATGTATATATATATATACACACTTGTATACAAGGTCCAATCATCCCAACGTAGAAGCCCCCCAACCCCACCCCCTGCCCCGCTCTGAAACCCCAACACCCTTAACCCCAAACCCCAAATCCTAAACCCTGAACCCTAAACCCCAAACCCTAAACCCTAAACCCCAAACCCCAAACCCTAAACCCTAAACCCTAAACCCTAAACCCCTAAACCCTAAACCCTAAACACCCTGAGGCCCAGAAGCTCCTGGCGCGGCAGATCGAACTCCGCGACGACGCCTCCGCGCGGCTGGCAGCCTCCATGGAGGCAGCGGAGGGTTTAGGGTTGAGGGTTGAGGGTTGAGGGTTGAGGGTTTAGGGTTTAGGGTTTCGGGTTTAGGGTTCAGGGTTTAGGGTTTTAGGTTTAGGGTTGGTCGAGCCGGCTTGGGAGTTTGGGCTCGGGGTAGTTTGGGGCGGGGGGGGGGGGGCGGTTAAGGTATTTAGGATGACGGTTTTTAGGGTCTATGGCTTGTAAGGTTTAGGCATTGAGCCGAGGCGCGCTTTCCAGAAGAGCTTCAGGCTGCGCTGGAGACGGCCTCCGTGCCCGGCAGCCAAAGCTCTCAGGTTGTAGGGTTTAGGGAGGTTGGGGGTTGGGATCTATACAGCTTTTGAGGGTGGCTTGTAAGAGCCTTTAAATCTGAATTGGGCGATGTTGCTTCGAAGAAGTTGCCTAGCATTCAAGGCATCTACGTTGCGTCCTTGCGCGGAATTGGCGATCCGTAAACTTTAAGCAGAATAGTCGCAACACAACGGACACATTATAGCATGTATCGTGTCTGGGTGTGTCGGAGGGGCTGCTCGAACGGGTTCGCTGTGGTGGACAAGCGAGGGGAACTCCTCTCTCGAGGTCGCAGGTTGACCAGCAGAGCATCGTGGAGGCACATTTTGCACGTTTTGCACGGTTTTCTTTGGGGTGGACTTTCCGGACCGTTTGGCCTCAAGATGGTTGAGAACGTCGAAAGGGAAGCCCATGCATGTTAAAATGTCTCCCGGTATCTGCAGGGCACCCACCTCCTCAGACAGCTGGAGCAGCTGCTGGCAGACATCGAGGCCGGCAACACAGCAAAGTGATAGCCGTACGGGATGTCACGGATGACTGCTGATCGGAGCCGTTCAGAGCAGTTTTGGGGAATAGTCGCAGCTTCTGGTGCACCTGAGGCGGCAGTCGGAGTGGAGCAGCGTGCCCGATCCCTGCAGGCATCGAAGAATGCAAAGGCCCATGGGAGATGCAAAGCAAGTGCCTGCACTTCTGTACATACGTACCCTATGAACCCCATAAACCCCACAAACCCCATAAACCCTATAAACCCCATACCTAAACCCTGTCAGCCCTATAAACTCTCTGAGCCCTATTGTCCGAAAACCCTCCAAACCTATAAACCTTAAATGGGACCCCCCGAAGGTGCCCGCAGAGTTGCTTGCTGCGGCCGAGCTGCAGCTGGCGCGGCTCAACCACCTGCACGAGGCACCCGATGATCTGCTAGGGTTCAGGGTTCAGGGTTCCGGGTTCAGGGTTTAGGGTTTAGGGTTTATAGAGTTTATAGAGTTTGTTGGGTTTAGGGTTTAGGGTTTAGGGTTTAGGGTTTAGGGTTTGGGGTTTAGGGTTTAGGGTTTAGGGTTTAGGGTTTAGGGTTTACATTGCAATCGATGCAGGCACCCTCGAACATCATCATGCTCAGCTGGGCTGCGACTCGAGACGAGTTGCGAAAAACGAACGACAGTAACCCCAACTGCATTCCTCGATTGACATCGGCGAAGAGCGAAAGAACGAGGGGAACAAAGGAAAAGTAAAAACAAAAAAACAGTTAAAAGAAATTTCAAAGAGTTATAAAATGTTACACAGATGTTATTTAATGGCTACCGCCAGTGCCGCCGACCCCACCCCCCGCCATTTTAGGGTGCCTCAGGGCTTAGGGAGTTTCTTGGGTGGCTTCGGCTTGGGCAGCTTGGGGTAGTTGGAGGATTTGGGCGCCCTTTGCAGGGATGACGCTATGAGGGTTTAGGGTTTAGGGCTAGTTCGCAGCCTTTTGGGAGGGGGGGGCCTTCACACTGGTGGCGGGCGGTGCGGATGGCGGCTCGTCAGCGTGGGTGGCTCAGGGGGCGGGTGGCTTGGGGCGGTCTTGGTGGTTCGGGTCATGTGGGTGGTTGGGGTGATGTGGGGTTCGGGTGGTGTGGGTGTTTGGCGGCATGGCTTCGTTCATGTACAGACTGTACAGCCTCAGAGTGTCCTACTGTGCATACCTAGGCTGGGCACTCTGATAGGATTCCTGACCCTTGAGGCGGCTGCGGGCAAGTGAGCGAGGAAAGAAAAATACAAATTTGTTAAGTTTACCTGTAACTCCGTATCAGTTTTGTGGGGCCCCTGCAGGGTCCCAGGAAGGGACCAAGCAGGGCAGCCCCCCCAACTAGAAAAACCTAGATGAATTTAGAATCTGTCCCCATGTGCTTGCATAAAGGCCCACGGGAGGGGGACCCAAGGACCCCCCGGGGCAACCGGCACCCCGAGAACCAACGCGGATCCTGCAAAAACAGGGCGACCGACCCAAGGACCGGCGGAGGGTGGGAGAAGCGGGCGACCGACCCAAAGACCGGCGGAGGAGGAAGTTTTAAAACTTGCGTTTTGCGTTGTTCTATACGTCCTGTTGAGTCGGGCCTTTTTTGCTTTGTTCTAAGCGTCAAAGTGGGCAGATTCCAAATTCCACCGAATCCCGGTGCCCTATGCTCCCTTAGAAGGCCCCCCATGGCTCAAATCCTTCGGCTAATCCAGGGCATTTAGCCTTGCGAGCAGCACAACGGCAAAGTTTGGATTGCGAGCCAGGGGTCGGTCAGAAGAGCGTTTGGAAGCGAGGCTTCAAACGGCGCGCGAGGTTCACGAAGCGGGTTGGTTGGGGTCACACGCCCGACATGACGAACACCTCAAAAACATAGGCAAACGATGGAGCAAAGACAACAGAAACGAAGAAGCACGCAAAGAACAATGAAATCAGAAAAACAAGCAAAATAGGTCACGGAGTTTCTCTCCTACTCAGGCAGAACAAATGACAAGGAGAACAGCTCAAAAACACAGGCAAATGCTATGCCAAAAAACACGAACAAGCATGCAAACAGCAATGCAAACGGAAATAAAGGCAACGTAGGTGACGGAGTTCTTTCTCCCACCCAGGCATAGGACAAAAGAAGAACACCTCAAAAACACAGGCAAATGCTTGATCAAAACCCAGAGAAACGACAAAGGACGCAAAGAATGAAAACGGAAATAAAACCAAGGTAGCGGACGGAGTTTTACCTCCTGCCCAGGCATAGGAGAAAAGAGGAACACCTCAAAAAGAGAGGCAAATGCTGGATCAAAAGCAACACAAACGCAGAAGGAGGCAAAGAGCAATGAAATCAGAAAGAAATACAAGCAAAATAGGTCACGGAGTTTCTCTCCTACTCAGGCAGAACAAATTACAAGGAGAACAGCTCAAAAACACAGGCAAATGCTATGCCAAAAAAACACGAACAAGCATGCAAACAGCAATGCAAACGGAAATAAAAGCAACGTAGGTGACGGAGTTCTATCTCCCGCCCAGGCATAGGACAAAAGAAGAACACCTCAAAAACACAGGCAAATGCTTGATCAAAACCCAGAGAAACGACAAAGGACGCAAAGAATGAAAACGGAAATAAAACCAAGGTAGCGGACGGAGTTTTACCTCCTGCCCAGGCATAGGAGAAAAGAGGAACACCTCAAAAAGAGAGGCAAATGCTGGATCAAAAGCAACACAAACGCAGAAGGAGGCAAAGAGCAATGAAATCAGAAATACAAGCAAAATAGGTCACGGAGTTTCTCTCCTACTCAGGCAGAACAAATGACAAGGAGAACAGCTCAAAAACACAGGCAAATGCTATGCCAAAAATCACGAACAAGCATGCAAACAGCAACGCAAACGGAAATAAAAGCAATGTAGGTGACGGAGTTCTATCTCCCGCCCAGGCATAGGACAAAAGAAGAACACCTCAAAAACACAGGCAAACGCTTGATCAAAACCCAGAGAAACGACAAAGGACGCAAAGAATGAAAACGGAAATAAAACCAAGGTAGCGGACGGAGTTTTACCTCCTGCCCAGGCATAGGAGAAAAGAGGAACACCTCAAAAAGAGAGGCAAAGGCTGGATCAAAAGCAACACAAACGCAGAAGGGGGCGAAGAGCAATGAAATCAGAAATACAAGCAAAATAGGTCACGGAGTTTCTCTCCTACTCAGGCAGAACAAATGACAAGGAGAACAGCTCAAAAACACAGGCAAATGCTATGCCAAAAATCACGAACAAGCATGCAAACAGCAATGCAAACGGAAATAAAAGCAATGTAGGTGACGGAGTTCTATCTCCCGCCCAGGCATAGGACAAAAGAAGAACACCTCAAAAACACAGGCAAACGCTTGATCAAAACCCAGAGAAACGACAAAGGACGCAAAGAATGAAAACGGAAATAAAACCAAGGTAGCGGACGGAGTTTTACCTCCTGCCCAGGCATAGGAGAAAAGAGGAACACCTCAAAAAGAGAGGCAAATGCTGGATCAAAAGCAACACAAACGCAGAAGGAGGCAAAGAGCAATGAAATCAGAAATACAAGCAAAATAGGTCACGGAGTTTCTCTCCTACTCAGGCAGAACAAATTAAAAGGAGAACAGCCCAAAAACATAGGCAAATGCTATGCCAAAAAACACGAACAAGCATGCAAACAGCAATGCAAACGGAAATAAAAGCAATGTAGGTGACGGAGTTCTATCTCCCACCCAGGCATAGGACAAAAGAAGAACACCTCAAAAACACGGGCAAATGCTTGATCAAAACCCAGAGAAACGACAAAGGACGCAAAGAACAATGAAAACGGACATAAAACCAAAGTAGCGGACGGAGGTTTACCTCCTGCCCAGGCATATGTCCTGCCCAGGCATAGGAGAAAAGAGGAACACCTCAAAAAGAGAGGCAAATGCTGGAACAAATGTCAACACAAACGCAGAAGCAGGCAAAGAACAATGAAATCAGAAATACCAGCAAAATAGGTCATGGAGTTTCTCTCCTACCCAGGCATAACAAAAGGAGAACAGCCCAAAAACATAGGCAAATGCTCTGCCAAGAAACACGAACAAGCTTGCAAACAGCAATGCAAACGAAAATAAAAGCAACAAGGTGACGGACCTCTATCTCCACCCAGGCACAGGACAAAAGAAGAACACCTCAAAAACACAGGCAAATGCTTGATCAAAACCCAGAGAAACGACAAAGGACGCAAAGAACAATGAAAACGGAAATAAAACCAAGGTAGCGGACGAAGTTTTACCTTCTGCCCAGGCATAGGAGAAAAGAGGAACACCTCAAAAAGAGAGGCAAATGCTGGATCAAAAGCAACACAAACGCAGAAGGAGGCAAAGAGCAGTGCGTCTGAACAAGG